AAACATATCCTAAGTGTATTGTATTTCAGTGACAGAAAGTAGAAAATAAAATTACTGTCGAAAAATATAAGTGTTGTTATAAGAAAGTATTGCATGAAATCTTTTGACCATAAAGAAACTCACAAAATGGATGTGTGCATATAAGCTGAGGCTGTACTTAAGTTATGGACACTTAGACATTAAGGCACCACGCGTCGACTATTGCTGCGTGTGATGGTAAATTATGTCCAGGCTAGAGCATTTTCAGGTTATTTTAGAAGCATAAAAAAATATATACCGGAAAAAATACTACACTCAAGGCAGAATCCAGTGTGTTGAGGAACAAATGAACATAAATTCTACGCCGCGTGTAATTACAGAACAACAGCAAGAATAGGAAGCAGATTACTACTGTCTGGCCAACAACCATACCGGCATCACCTGCAACAGAAGGTTTGCAGTTTCTATTAGGCAAAAGACAACCAATCATTGCATCTTCTCCTCAGGCAGCCACGTCTTCTGGGGTACCGATGCCAACCGTTTGGTCTTAAATATCAATTAGTCTCAGTTCATGAAATATATCCACCCAGAGGGTCCCCGGCACTGGTCAGTGGTGTCTGCTGTACAATGGCATACTGTAAGTTGCTGGGTGACACCAGTGATGTATAGATGCCCGGTTACCTTACGACAACCGTTTCTCAACGTGTTCCCTTCAGAAGAGGATAACCAAGAGACAAGGCTTCTTGAGAAATCAACGAGAACTTCATTCTAGAATAATGATGCATTTAAAATGTTATACAGTCCTGTGAGTTGGGCCAAGAGAACTCAGGCCCAGGACTGACGCACGCACACCGCTACACCTAGAAGCCAGTGCTGTCGTGTGAAATTAATAATTTTCAAATACAAAGTTCATGGAGCCGTGAACAGTGACTTATCCCTTGTGGTTAATTGCTACGACAACTCCATATCCAGGGCTCCACCCTTCTTATTATATATATATCCGTTAACGGGATGTGTTATACCAGCCATTAAGAAAGACCAGTCAACAAGACACATTTCAGGAAAGTCTGATTTTTTTTTATATATTTAGTTCCAGCACGAGACAGCAGGAAACAACACCCCTCCAGGCGGGATGATCACGGCTTATGAGGCCAGAGTTACCTGCCCCTACTGAGTCTCTTTCAGAAGACCTTGTTGTTATACCGAGATAATCTTTTGTCAGTTATCGTTCACGCTTGATATCACGTCCATCTATTGTTCACAAATATATTCTCAGTTATCACTATTTTCACTATACTGTGTGGTAAAATGATCCGTCACTATACCACACTGACCAGTCCCCGCTGCGTAAACACACTTTTCCATCCAGATGCTAAACAATTTATCCTTATTCAAAACAAGTATATTTATCTCTAGCTGACAAACATCTCCGAATATTGACACTCCAGTTGCAAAAAGTCTCCCGTAGGTGAACTAATACGGGTAATACTGTCCAACATGTCATTCAGCACCCAAGGAGTCTTAAGGAAACAACCAAACACTCATACCAAAATCCTTCACGTCTCCACCGAAAGGATTATGACAAATTACTCCGTGTTTCTCCTTCCTGTCAGTTAATAATTAAACGTCACTCCATCAAGTTTTCTTAGGATTACACTATGATCCAAAATGTTCTTCTTAATTGTTTTTTTCGAAGTAATTTATCGACTGAAAGATCAAAATAAATCACAAACATATTTCTTGCTGTTACTCAGTCATATCCAGGCCAATTTATATGAAAGAGTATATAACTACTTATCTCTATATGACTCGCATAAAAAGCTTTAGAATAAGTAAAATTTGTGTACTTTTAGTCATTCTATGGACCAAATTTCACATAAAAGCATAATTTTGAGATTTTTTTGGGGTCAATACTCTACAGGAAGTCACCCAATATTCAGGGAACTCGCTATAAACATTACTTAATAAATCCCTTTACTCCTATATATACATTGTTACCATTATACAGGATTAAATACCACAAAAAATTAATACATAACTTTTTTTACTAATCTTTACCTCATCTGCCAGACAATATCCATGAAACACAGACCCATACCTATAACCCTTCACATAATTTTTAATTTTTGAGAATCACAGGTCATTAAAGCTGATTTGGGGGGCTTACGTCACTCCTAGAAAGCCATGTGTCCCTGACTAGAGATATACTTCATTTATTTGTTAATGTTAACCTCTTTAGGATATCATTTGCTTTAAATTACAAGAGGTATATTATTATTTACCGATTTTGCAATTAGTTTATATTAGTTTAGGTTTACCTGGCAATGTTTATGGATGTCTACTACTTTTTTATGATGTAATTAAATAAGAAGATCAGGAAGACAGACATAAATGTATAGTGTAGACATATATATTCAGGGTAGGAGGATTATTCTGAATCAGCCAACAGTGAGGAGTAAATTGGAGTGTCCTGTAGTGATGATGTTTTTCACAACCGAAAACGTGACTTGAAATGTTACGCTTTTAACTTTGTAACTGTCATTTTTAGGTAAACATTTTACAATGAACCCTAAATGGTTTCGGTTTTCCTATCGTAGAATAAAAAAATTGAGGTAACTTGAGAATAACACACACACACACACACACACACGGTCCTACCATTACACTACCATAAGCAACTTAACAATACAATATAATCCCTCGGTACATGGAAGAGAAAGTACCAACTCGGGAAACTCTCATTACACTCCCACTGTCCTGGGCTCAATATGACAATAAAAAGCTGCTAGCCCCCGAGACCCCCGTAATACGTGTGACAGTAATGGGTAAATTATCTCAACAATAGATTTAAGAAAACCACACACACACACACACACTATGTTTAGGTTCTATCGCGGACTACGTGGCTACCAGGCTAAATGAAAACACCACAACAGCGGGGCAAAGAGCTACGGTGTTGACAATTAAGCAGTGGAACGATATGACGTGTAGTATATACGAGCAATATGAACGTGGGAGAGGATGAGAGGCGGGGACGGGTAACTAGCCTCTCTCTAATTATCGATAAATAAAGTTATAACTACCTTTGACTCTCCCATAGGTGAACTAAAGAAAATATGATATTGTGTTAATTAAAGACAACCTGCTAGGAACAACAGTAGACCACCATCAACACGACCAAGTTACCAGGACACGCAGCCTTGGACCCTTTGAGAATAGATTAATCCTCTCGACCGTGAGAATATCATCATCTCGGACCAAGTTACTGACAGTGTGTTGTGTGATTCCTCTCAGTTTAAAGTCATAACAAGATACCTAATACATCACAGTCTAAGTAGAAGTTATTGGTGATCATCTGATTGTAAATACTGAGGTGACTTGATGAATATTGTAATGATAGAGTCAGCCAAAGTCGACATTATGTGTTTTGTTTGTATTTACAGGTGAGGTAACTAGATCTTAGGATTACAAGTTTCACATAAAGGTTAGTGTAGTGAGGCCAAATTTAATGAGACAATAAATACTCCAGAATGTAACTAAGGTACCTGTTAGCATGCAGGTAAACACGGACGTGCTTCACCAATGATCTCAGAGCCGTGACGTATTGAAATTTTGCTGTGACAGTGACCTTGGTCCAACTGTGATCATAATGCAGATAAATGACGTTTTAAATGCAACAGAGCAAGAAGGGGATTTATTTCCATTCAGTTGTAGCAATACTCGTATATATAAAAGTTATCTCTATATGGCAAAAATTTCAGTTGTTTTTTTAAAGCTTAATATGTTATCATACATATTTAGAATACACACACACACACACACACACACACGTACGTTCTAGATTTACAGCCTGAGTGATTGTCCCTCCGATGCAGCAAATGTAGGTCTGAGCCGGAACACTACAGCCGCTCTAAGCTTGAACTGTTTCTGTAAACGGAGTGCTTTTAAAGACTGTCAGATAGCCCTGTCCAGCAGCGTCAAGACCTATACCAGACAACGAATTATTTGTTGACTGAAAAACACAAGAATTTTAAACTCTGGCATTATTTGGGTATTAATGAAGGGTAATTTATCATTTTGCACCTGTAAATTAACAAAGTATTGTAGAAAAAAATATCGTTTGTTTACTCTTCAGGTGTCAACCAATCACCTTGCTTAGGTAAATAGATCCTTAATTTATCTTTGCTTTGGGATTCTAAGTATAACGAGATCTCATTGTAATATACCAACTCATATTTTAGAATCACTGAAAGAATGCTGACAGCCATTTGGAATTCTCTCAGTATATTTTTTTCCCAGCTACATCTTCTACTGCTAATGATCCGTTACTAAGGAGAAAATGCATACTGATAACAGAGATAACAAGAAGTGGGAAGAATCCACCATATTGCTCATTTTTAGATAAGTTATAGACAGTTTTTAGCTAAGAAAGTCATATCAAGGGTCTACAGGACACAAATACTTCTACCCCTCTTCTAGATAATCGTCACATGAGCTTACGCCCTTCCCCTAACCTATTCCCTCATAGTTACACTCATGTACTCGTGTCAGTGTGTGTGTGTGTTATCCTTTATTCATATATATTTTTTTTAATTTCCCGTTGTTCACAAGAGCTGCACTAAGTAGTCTTATGATGTGGGTGGGGGGAGTTGGGTGGTCCCGTCAGGCTCCAAGAAGGTTATCGACTTGCACTCTGCCACAAAATTCAATATCCTGGTCATTAGTTTCCTCAAGAAGCTTCAATATTTTAGTCTCGGTGATCCAGAAAACTAAGACATAATTTGGGTTTATCATTTCCCTTATAACTTTTATTTTATTTATATTCTTGTAATTGTTTTTCATTCCCAGGAAATTATCAGTCTTAAGGCAAATGCAGTACTGACCACTTACCGAAGATTTAGTATACACTGTGCTGTATCCAGACTACCCGTGCTAATCGGCGCAATTTTACTCTTCATAATTATCAATGATCTATTTTGATTCAAGGGAACTAAACTTCTCAATTATCTACTCTTGAACAGATCCGTGTGGTCATGTGGTGTGCCAAGCGGGTCAAAAATGCCTGGTAGATGACGCCAGGGTGCCACGGTGCCAGTGTAACTCCACGTGTCCCTCCACTCTCTCACCCGTGTGTGCTAGTGATGGTACTACATACAGGTAAATGTCTTAGTGCCAGCATCATTCTGTGTCCTTTATATGATGTCCTATTTGTTACATGACAATACTATATACAGGCGACTTACCACGCTGCCATAACGAAGTACTAGATTTAGGTAAATGCCAAAAGGATTCAATAATATTCGAATAATTAGCTTATTAACAAGGAAGTATTGATTAACAATATCATAAGTACCATAATACATAGAGACAATTAGTGAAGAGTTTATATGATTATTAACACATCCGTTTTCTATAGATTCTTGCCGGTTTACCTCATAATGAGTCGTATTTACTTAAGGTCGAATTAAGTCACCAATGTTTTTCCTACAAATGACAACTAATGACGAGAAATTCTAACATTCACAGTTAAGTTTTGACCGCCTGTGTCTGGAGACTTTTATTATTTAGCAAGAAATTCTTAATTTTTTTTAACGTCACATGAAGGTATTATTTTTAAGGTTATTTTTCTTACGTGTTTCAGCAACGAGTGTGTGATGAACTTCGAGGCTTGCAGTAGAAGACAAGTTCTTAGTGTTCTATATCGTGGCGAGTGTTCCTCAGGTAATTTATGTGTTCTTCAGGTGACTTCGTGTTTTTCATTCATACGAGTTTCATGTTCTTCAAATTAATTAGGTAGTTTTCAGGTAAGTAAGACGTTCTTCATCTCAGTGAGGTGTATTCTTTAAGTGAGTTAGATGTTTTTAAGCTCTTGTGTTCATTAGAGAAGTTCTTTAATCTTCAAATGAGTCAGAATTTCCTTGGGTGATTCGTCTTTAATATTGGTTAAGCAATTTATGAGCTGCAGATGCTAGTAAAATTAGTTTTGTGAACAGTAAATGTTAGTATTATAAGTTTCATGAGTAGTTATTCTTACTATTATTATGAGTTGTAAGATTAGTAAAGGTTGGTATAATGAGCGTCTACCCCGGATCAGTGATGTACCCAGTGTGGGGCGCCTGCACTACACACGCAAGTACTGGGGTTTACAAGGAACCCGTTCACCCCACCTCGTCTCGGTTGTAGCAGACAAAGGTATTAAACACACTCGACAGAGGGGGTGTAACAAATAGATATGCTACACCGAGATGAGGAGGGGGTGAATGGGTTCCCTGTCAGACACCAGTACTGCTCGTGGCCCGCTACCTTTTATACCCCCGCGTGTAGTGTAGTACACGTGCATTTGTCAATCTTTAGATCTATTAGTATTGTGAGTTTTGTGAGGTTGAAGTCAAAATCGTGGTTTTTCTAAGTTCTTGATGTTCGTATAATGAGTTCTGAAAATAGCAGATGTTAAGTTAATGAATAATTAAGAGCTTTTTGGCATGTAAATGTTAGATATAAAATTACTTATATTTGTGTGGAAGAGAAATTTAACTTAGTGGTCGTCTGTATCTTACGTGAGTGAGTTTCGTCTAAAACCTGTCTGTGAAATTCGTGACAATCTTCAGTGTCTTGTGTCGCCTGTAACTTAGTGTGTCTGCCACATGTGTCGGTTGTGATGGATTACATTATTCTTCCGTGTTTTATTTGACTTTTGTGCTGTGTAATTCTCAACTCTGTCTGTGAAGCAATATAACTACAGTTTCTGTGTTACGTGACTATTTCTTTATTACATACGCACACAGGCGAGAACCTTGTGTGTGTATGTGACCCCAACCCCACCCTGTGCTACACGCCGTGTGTGTGTTATATCTATCTTGTGTGTGTGTGACAGGTGTCAACCCTTGCGGGGCGGTGCGGTGCGGGTCAGGGCAGGGGTGTGTGGTGAATCAGTACGGGGTTGCCACCTGCCGGTGTCGCAGATGGTGCCCGCCCGTGGTGACGCCCGTGTGCGGCTCTGATGGCACCACCTACGACAGTCGCTGTCACCTGGAAAGGGACGCCTGCCTCAGACAGAGGTCCATTACCGTCGCCTTCGTCGGCTCCTGTGGTGAGTACTTCACATGTTTTGGTTTTGATGTTTGAGTCTGTATCGTGTAACTCTCCCTCGTATTATACAAAGCACATACTACTGATTTTCGACTCGATAGAACAATCGATACTTGAAAGTCACACAAAAAAAAGCGATTAATCACGGCATCGACTGTCTCCCTCCCCCAACAGCTGACTGAGGGGCGTGTGGACTGCGAGGACCCAGCTGTCTGGCCGCTCACGGTGTCCGCCCCTCATGAAAGGAATCTATTACCCAACTTTCCACAAGACGGCTAACCGAGAGCCTTTTTTTTTCCAGTTTTCTCCTCTGTAACTTCATACACTGTGTTCTCTGAGTTCTGGCTGTATATCGTGACGGACAGATCCTAATACTTGACTAACATTATGAAGACACTTAACTCTACACTCAACAGTTTCACACGACACACCAACGGTTGAATATAAAGTATTATACTATATATTTACTTATCTAAATTTATCAAAAGGTCAGTAATAAATACCTTACACGTGCTGTTTCATTAGCACAGTCTAGTTACCAAATGTTTCACTATTATAGAAGGAGTGTTTCCATATACAGTAGGCTGTTTCCGAGCTTAATACCCACAGAGATTATCCTCGTGAGTAACATTATAGTCCAGTCTCTTATCTGAAGTAAACAAAACGGTGGACTATCAAGAAAATTCGTTAGTTAAGGATCTTAGACAATCAACCACATACCGAGCCTGTAATTTAGACAATGTATTTACCCATGTCTTTCATAGTTTAATATTTAACTTTTAGCATTCGTGAACCTAAGGATTGTCGTCTCATCCTCCTATGATCTATCAGGTGAATATCTAAAGTTAATATTTAAAAAAAACATTAATGAATCAGGAGAGTTGCATAAGCACGTGTCACAGCTATCCCAGGTAGGCGTAAACCATTGCTACGTGTTTACCTTACAAACCAATAATCTACCTTAAAAGCACATTTTGCAACAGGTAATTAGCATTTACTACACCTGTTCTCTACAACAGTTCAATCAACTATACTCCACATACCTAATAGTCTTCACGATCGATTAACATGTCATTCATATCTTACAAAAAAAATTATCATTAATACCGAAAAGCACTTCTGATTAGGTTAGTCTCTCGCTCGTATCTTACCAACCACCTCACATATCAACAAATCCTCATCGCCAGCACAAGCGAAACCCCACGTTGACTTAGCTGCATTATCTATTATGAACCTTATTGATTTATGAGGCAGTTAAAACATCCATAAAGAGAACATTTACAATTCCTTTCAGTTAGTTGCTGAGTTTGCCAAGACATACGTTATAATCGGACTTTATCGCCGTCGTAAATATAACCTAGCCTACCCTGTTACCCGGTGTGTTCAGGAATTAATGTCCATTTTCTGGTCTGTTGGTTTGATCTATGAATGAAAATGAAGATCAATATGAGGAAAATAATATACGAGAAGAAGTCATACAAGGTAGAGAAAGAAAGAGACTGACAGACAGGTTTTCTCTCTGTCTCTGTCTCTTTCTGTCTCTCGTGTGTGTGTGTGTGTGTGTGTGTGTGCATCAACTTGTATATTGTGTGTGTGTGTGTGTGTGTGTGTGTGTGTGTGTGTGTGTGTGTGTGTGTGTGTGAATATATCTAAATCAACTTACATATATTGTGTATGTGTGTGTGTGTACATCAACTTAAATATAACACGCAATAAGCCCAAAGCAATAACACTGCAACATTGCTCACATTCTTCAGTTAGTTTCAGAAATTCATTCTAGCCTAAACGCTTTACCCAGATGGAATTTTATTACCAAATATACGAAACAATCGTTGGCGTTATACACATATTGCCAAGTAAAATTTCGGTTTTAATAATTTTATGGAGGTTCGGGCACGTTCCATAAGCTGAAAAAATTAAAATAATCTGATAATAATGACGATTTAGAGTCTAATATTCTTTATAGCTAGTAATACTTGTCTTCCCGGCGTTAACACAAACTCTACATCAGAAAAGTATTACAAAATGACCATTCATTCTTTTCATGAGAATTAATCCCCACCAGTGTGTTTAGCAGAGCAGGATGATTTACCTGTAATCTGGCCTATTTACCAGACAAACTTACGCCCTCGCTGATAACAAAATAACTCTGCAGTTGTTCTCTCTCGTGTGGTGAACAAACAATACTACCTTCTCTCTACTGAGTTGACAACATCCTGAGTTATACTGTGTGTGTGTGCGGTGGTGGTAACCATACAGTGTGGTGGTAAACATTCATTTGTGTCTCAGTTATGTTACCGTACCAGCAGGCTGTAATATATGAAGTTGAACGAGAATAAAGGAAATTCCTAAATAGAATAAATAACTTTGTAGTGAAATGATTATTGTATTATTCACTGGTGTTTGTCTACATTATTCAAATATTTATTTTTTACTCGTCACCAACAAAAAGAAATTTATGAGGTAGACCCTGGAGAACAACCATTTACTCGGGACACTGGTGGCCGCTGGAGACGAGAAGATACAAGAAATCGTTCCATCTAACCTCACTTGTTTGTTACACGAGGACCCGTTTGAGTCTTCGTGTGTATTGAAGGTCTTACATGCAGTATTTGATTATGTGCAATTGTATAATTATATAACTTTGAATGTGTGTACGTACATGTAAGTATGAGCTTGTGTTCGTATGTAGATAAAGGCGAACACAGACATATATGAGCGTGGGCGTTTGTGTGTTTCTGCCTTTGTACTCCTGTGTGCTTGCGTGGAGAAAACCCGCCTATTAAAATGTATGAATACTTTATGTCATGATAGAGAACAGAATACAAAGGAAAATGTAGAACTTATTGTTCAATTAAGTGACATAACAAACACGTAAAGTGAATAAATATCACATAATAAGAGGCGTGGATGACATCTTTACGGCGGCACTAACAGCGTCGCCTACCATCTACTTTACTTTTGATGACTGACAGGACCCACCCCCCCCCCTTCCCTTCTCTTGTACCTCACGACACTATGGTATTTTCGATATTCTGCTGCTGTCCCGGCTAACCACACTGTCTTACTGTAAGAGGTTTTTTTTTTTTACCTTTTTGTGTTATAAAACATGGTAGGGGAAATGAAATCTGTACAAGAACTTTTGGAGGCCATACTCGTCATTATTTTAGCGGCTATTAATAAATTTGAAAAGTCTACTATCTATCTTTTTGTCTGAATTTGTTTCTCTTTCTTCGTTTATTTTGAACAATTCCCACGTTTTACTTGGAGAGAAGAGAGGAGTCCGACTCGAGTCACCGTTTTTGTGGACTTCAGACTTGACCTGGCCTCCAGTGTATACCTGGCTTGATTAGACTCGAGACTTGCTTCTCCCGACTTGGGACTTGACTCGAAATTTTCTGACTTGAGACTTGATTCATATATCCAGAAATTTTGATTTCAAGCTGCTTCCCCGCATAACTAGACTTACGCGTGGCAAAACTGACCAAGTGTTGCCAAGATTATAGGAGGGATTTTTCTGGTGTTTGAGGTATTGTAAGCTGGATGAGTAAAGCTTAATCAACTAAAACAGTTAGACAAGCAATTTGAACATATTTTTGAAGCACATTTTGAACGAAAAAAAAATGATCCGTACTGACTCAAAATTATACTTGTGACTCGGTAAAAAAGAACTTATGACTTGCCCCCAGTGACTCGTGACTTACTTGAGACAATGTGACATGTCTGATAATATTTCCTACAGCTTAGGGAGTATGTATCTGGGTAAACAAGGTATCCTATTACAAGTCCTTCATTATACTCCCAGGAAACTGATGCTTCTCCTTCACCCCTCTCATCCCTCTCACTCACCACCATCCCTCTCCCTCACCACCATCCCCTTCCCTCTCTCACCATCCCTCTCACTCACCACCACTCACCCATCCCTCTCCTCACCACCACTCACCACCATCCCTCCTCACCACCATCCCTCTCCTCACCACCATCTCCTCACCACCATCACCACCATCCTCTCCCCCTCACCACCATCCCTCTCCTCACCACCATCCCTCTCACACCACCCCTCTCCTCACCACCATCCCTCTCCTCACCACCATCCTCTCCTCACCACCATCCCTCTCACCACCATCCTCCCTCACCACCATCCCTCCCCACCACCATCCCTCTCCTCCATCCCTCCTCATCTCCTCACCACCATCCCTCTCCCTCACCACCATCCCTCTCCTCACCACCATCCCTCCCTCACCACCATCTCTCCCTCACCACCATCACCATCCCTCTCCTCACCACCATCCCTCATCCCTCACCACCATCCTCTCACCACCATCCTCTCCTCACCACCATCCCTCTCCCTCACCACCATCCCTCTCCCTCACCACCATCCCTCTCCCTCACCACCATCCCTCTCCCTCACCACCATCCCTCTCCCTCACCACCATCCCTCTCACACACATTAGAACATAAAGATATCAGCTGTTTCCACTCATGCGTTCTCCTTCCTTCACACTGCCTCCTTCCTTCACACCGCCTTCTTCCTTCACACTGCCGTCTTCCTTCATTGCAGGTGCAGGTGGTCCGTGCGAGAAGTACAAATGTGAGTACGGAGGAGTGTGCGTGGAGAGGTACGGCCAGGCAGAGTGCGAGTGTCCTGAGTGCGGCGGAGAGTACCAGCCCGTGTGTGGTGGTGACCGTCGCACCTACCACAGCTCCTGCCGCCTCGCCCGCCATGTGTGTCTAACCACCACCCACGTCGAGCTTCTCCACCACGATCCTTGCGGTCAGTTCTCTCCCTCCCTCCCTCCCTCCCTCCCTCTCTCTCCCTCCCACCACAGTTACTACCCTCTTGCTCCTCCACCAGTCATTACTACCCTCCCACTCCACTCTACTCCCACTCCTTAACCAGTCACTACCCTCCCACTCCAGTCACTACCTTCCCACTCCGTTCACTTCCCTCCCACTCCCTCACTCCTACTCCTCAATGTAGTAAAGAACGTCGGTAGAAATTTTGTTTACAATAGATTTTTCCAATATTCTAAATCAACTGTTTTATTTTGTTCATTTGACTGATCTCGTGTTCTTGTCCCAATACATCTGACACAGTGTATCACGTTGACAACTGGAGTGAGTTTAATTGTCATTTCTTTGTACTGTAAATCACGACTTTGCTCAAAACATTCCATTGCTACTTTTATCGTGACCACACCAGCTCGTCCGAATGTACTAAAATCTTCCAAAAATTTCCCCAACTTTCTCAGGTAACAGGGTTTTCAGAACACGGTTTCATACTTACTAAAAACAGTTAAACATATAACTATAGATACTTTATGAGTGTTCTGTTTAGGTTACATATTTTTCTTCTTTAAAAACTGTATCATGTTATGTTTATTCTCCATTAATGGGTTATTTATCCAAGACACGTCTGTACCTCTTATAAAATTGACCTGGCTCTCCACACACACACACACACACACACACGTTCGTAAGACAGCCACATCATAACGAGTTCTCTGACAGATGCGTGTAAGGGCGTTGAGTGTGGGGAGTTCGGACAGTGTCGGGTGGACGCAGAGGGCTTCGGTCGCTGTTCCTGCCCCACGAATTGCTCTCAGGTAAATACCAGGTGTTACTTAAGTGTCATGAATTGTTTATATTACGATAAATGTCCAATATATTAACGGAATTTTGACGCATAAAAAACAATTTTCACTTTTATCTATGTAGGATTTATATGTGACTAGCTGCGTAGTTGTCCAGTATCTCAAGGTAGGCGTTAATTATGTCTAGGTAGGTGACACGTAGGTGTAGGTAAGCACTAATTATATCTAGGTAAATGAGAAGTAAACATAGGAAAATGCTTAGTATGTTTAGGTAAGTGTCAAGTATGTCTAGGTAGGAGCCAAGTGATTCTAGAGATAGCAAGTGTGTTTATGTTACACTAGTTGAGTAGAACACGTAAGTATTTTATATCTAAGTGTGTCTAGATGGGAGGAAGATTTTCAAAGGTCGGGGCTAAGTGTGTCAAGGACGATGGTGCATCAACCTCGGTATTGGTGTCTTGGAAAATAAGAGTGGCCTGAAAATAATGTGAAATATTTATATGCAAATAGTAAGTCTATATAGGAAAATGCTTCGTGATGACACAGTAACTGAGAGCCATGGTAAATAAACATCTAATATTGTTTGCCATATTTTATAGTTAACTACCTCACTTTTGTACCGAGTTTATGTAAATAATATTAGATAATTCGCTACACTAAAAAAAATGATTCACTTGTATTTTTAGTTAAGTGTTTACTGAGTTCACCCGAAGGAATTACATTTGAGTCTTAGCAATACGAGTCATTGTCCTGAGTTTAGTCTGTCACGTCTCCTAATTGATTACAAAATTACTGTCTATAACGGTCCTGTCACCCATGAACGACTAGATCACCTTTGAACGTGTTTTTCAATGACTACGTAACGACATCAGGGGCTACGGTGCTACTATATATAGCCAGCAGCTTTAATTAATAGCCAATTAAGACGAGGGAGCTCCAGGATGTAACCAAATTGCCTTAACTCATATCCAAGTTGCCAAATAAAACATTACGCAACTCTTAAATGTGATCTGGTGGTATCTATGTGTGAGATGCCTCTAGGTATAAATAAATAGCTAACAAGTTATGTAAATACCTCAGAAGCTGCCAAGTAAGACTACTGACTATGTTATGTTCGGTTCTCCCCAGGCGCTGGGTGGGGAGGTGTGTGGCAGCAACGGGGAGACGTATGCATCAGAGTGCCACCTTCAAGTCGCCGCGTGTTCCACTCAGCAACACTTGAGCGTCACACACAAGGGGAACTGTGGTAGGTATTGTACCCTTATTAATATTAAACCTGTTTGGTAATGTTTATAGGACACTGAAGTGAATAAGATCAACTTTTTTTTTTCTTCTATGATTCGGGTATTATTAACGTATATCTTGTGTGTGTGTTTGTTTGACCTCTGGAGTCGGTGTGTTACAGATCTGTGCCTGGACGTACACTGTAAGTACAGGGCCAGGTGTGAGGGAGGCCGCTGTATCTGTCCCACAGACTGTCCCGACAAGAAAGAGCCTGTCTGTGGCTCCGACCGTATCACCTATAGCAACGAGTGTGTCATGCGCAAGGTGGGTGGCGTGTGTGTCATAAGGTGGATGTCATATGAATGTCATGTACACAAGGGGAGTATCGTGTGAGTATCATGAATAGTATGGGTGTCACGGTTGCTTTATGTGAGAAGTATGTTAAACGGCTTTCATATATCCTGTTGATCTGTTGAGAGTATGCTAGAAATAAGTGTCCTGCGTCATACAGAATACGTGGTGAGAATTTTAAGGGATAAATGTCACGCGGGTGTCATTCGTACTAAGAGACAGATGTCATGTGGTGTCATATTCACTTCTAAAAGACTCGCTGCAGACTGTGTCATATGAGTATCAGAACATGCTGGTGAAAAGAGAGTGCCACTTGTGGTATCAAACGGAAAACCAGTAAGAGTAAGTCTCATAAAATCTTGATACTAAAACAAAGCATGACACTGTACCAGCTGACACTGTACCGGCTGACACTGTACCGGCTGACACTGTACCGGCTGACACTGTACCGGCTGACACTGTACCGGCTGACACTGTACCGGCTGACACTGTACCGGCTGACACTGTACCGGCTGACACTGTACTATCTAACACTGTACCATCTAACACTGTACCATCTAACACTGTACCAACTAACACTGTACCATCTAACACTGTACCATCTAACACTGTACCATCTAACACTGTACCATCTAACACTGTACCATCTAACACTGTACCACACTGTACCATCTAACACTGTACCATCTAACACTGTACCAACTAACACTGTACTATCTAACACTGTACCAACTAACACTGTACGATCTAACACTGTACCAACTAACACTGTACCAACTAACACTGTACCATCTAACACTGTACCATCTAACACTGTACCAACTAACACTGTACGATCTAACACTGTACCAACTAACACTGTACGATCTAACACTGTAACACTGTACATCTAACACTGTACCATCTAACACTGTACCATCTAACACTGTACCATCCTCAGGTGGCATGTGAGAAGAACGAGGATATGAACTACCTGTTCTTCGGGGAGTGTGACGAAATAGGAGGCATCGTCACAGGTAAGAGAACTATGAAAGTATTTGCTTTTTTGGTTCCCTCTCTTGTGTTGTTATACCCTGTTATCATCTGTGTTACCTAATCGAGTTTTTTTCCCCTTCCTACTCTCTAACTTCGGTTTGTTTATGATGTGTTATGCTTAGTAATTTTATTTGACTATTAATTTGTAAGTTGACACACGAAAAGTTGTATTGTCTGATTGTTATGTTGGATTATTGCCTCTCGTGCTGTGCTATGAGGTGTGAAGCAATAATTCTGAGTTGAGCTTCTTTATATCATGTTTCGTGTGCCTGCCTGTTGCTGTATATCCACTACAATGTATCCTCCATGTCATTTTAAGAGTGTACCCCGTGATATGGTTGTGTCATGCTCTGATTTTATCGTCGTATTTATGTATTGTTACTGTCTTGTCATAATGAATTATAACTTACAAATTATATTTCGACTTTCTAGAGAATTTACGTTGGATACGATTCAAATAATACTGTAAAAAGATTATTTATATTTCACTGTAATGAGTCGGTATTTAATCTCAAATTTATCATTATTATGTTATGACTCCTACGTTAATAGCAAGTATTGTTACTAACTTCCTACATCGCATTGATATAAAATCACAATATTCCCAAAGCAAAATGTTTGTTTGCATGTAAGATCTCCCTGATATACATTAATACACATCATATTAAGGCACACAACACACGTCAGCATAAACTAGCATCATTTAGCTGTCGTATCTGTTAAATCTTTTCTCGTACTTCTGCACAAACTCTACCTTGGCCAAGACAAAGTACTGTATAAGCGAGGTTATGTCAATACTCTACGGTAGTCACGCGCCACATTTCACTTACTCGCCTGCGGCAAAGCTCTATGAAACAGACCACATTTTACAATCTACAAATTATTTTCCAACAAGTTGTAACAATAGCAGCAAAATTTGGACAAAAACTCGAGTTGCTTATTAAAGCTTAATCGACGATTATCCCTACTGAGCGGGAGTTATTTGTAACTCATATCATCCTCTATATTAACCCTCATAGACGTGATCTACCCCACGCCCCTGCCGCCTGCTAGCCCTGAGGATCCCTGCCACTTCCATACCTGCATTGCGGGGGCTAATTGCCAGAAGGACGCCGAGGGTAGAGCGCGCTGCGTCTGCGACTTCTATTGTTCGCCTCCACCTCGCTACGAGCCTGTGTGTGGCAGCGACAAGGAGTTCTACGAATCTGACTGTCTGATGCGCCTCCACGCCTGCAACATACAGGTCAAGCTCTCCGTGAGGCCCATCCACGAATGTGCCGGTGAGTGTTCCTCAGTCATTTGTTAGGACCATCTAGTACCAAGTAAATCTATCTTGTGTATCTCAATGTAATTTTATGTTACCTACTAATTAGATTAATTTAATTCTATGATTTTACTTAAGTCAACCACTTAGGTGCTCTGGTACGCCTTCTCTTAGGAGGATCATTCAGCGTATGAACCTTTGTGAACGAGAGGACCTAGGAAGGTTTCATTACGTAATACCGCTCCTTGGTTATACTCATGTTGAAATGGATTTCTGTTCAGTCTACATTAACACAGAGCGCCTAATGACGTCGTGTCTGTGGGGAAATTACTTGGCCTGCGTTTATAGTTATACTTGTGTTTTGTTTTTGTTTTTAATATATTACATTGAATACGAGATGAGGTACTGGACGATGAGTCATATCTCACTTAAGATTAGAATTATAATATTTTTATAATATTTTACACCATTTTGTTTTTTCATTCGTCAGATTTTCCCAATGAAACAATTATTACACAGATTATCACCATTGTATCTAGAGGTGCAGAGAATTAATAAACTTAAACCCAACCCCATAGATGACATTTGACGTACTCTAGTCATATAGTTTAATATTAAATATCGTTAATATTGAGAATGCTGTGCTCTCCATCCTACGTCAGCTGCACAGAGGCTGAGGGCGTGTAACGGGACGTCGCCGCTCATCAATCCATCGACGGGGGAGGACCTGTACTGCGGTGAGGGCGGCACCATCTGTCCCCCCGGTACCTACTGTCACCGCCAGCACGACTTCGCCAAGTGCTGCAGGGATTACTCCGTCAGGGTGGCTGGTAACCTGTCTCTCCCTCTTGACCTGTCTTGACCTGCCTTTCATGCTGTTGACTCGTGGGTTCTTTGTTGTTGACACTTCTCGAGTCTTTTGTCACTGACTGTTGAGTGATGAGCTATTTATTTAGTGACTAATTTCCAGATTTATTCACTAGCAGTTGAAACTTTTCCACTCAATTGCCCACTAGTACAGCATCACCTGAAAACAGAGGCTGATTCACCTCCCATTTGTGTTGTGTTATTATTGACCAAACTTATAACCTTTTCCGTTCTTCTTGTCTTCACCTGCCGTATAACTCTTGACGTAATCCTTCATTTTCTGAGAACCAATTTACCTCTTCTTGATAACAGTAAAATATAAACCAAGACTCTGCTTCCTCTCCCTCTGGTTCACCCATCCTTCTCTGGTCCTCCGGCAGTTATCGAAGCTCCAGTGCCCCGGGACTGTCACCAGAGTGACTGGGGATGCTGTGAAGACGGTATCAACTTCTCCACGGGACCGGAGAGCGAAGGCTGTCCCGAATCCTGCCGCTGTCACAGACTCGGTGAGTAGAGACGCTTCTGCTAAGACCGTTTGGTTGATACAGGGAACTGTTCTCGTACTGTTGCTTCCTTACTGTTGGGGAACATTTTGGGGGCTGGTGCAGTTGACCAGTGTGGATACATCAGGCCATAAGGGATAATTTCAGTTATTCTTACTTTTCTTTCCGAAATTTGGAGCTGATATGTACAGTTACGGACAAACTTCCCTGGACACTTGGCAATATCTAGCATCTATTTGTGGGTCATACATATGATTGGATTATATCCAATAACGCCGTTTTTCATCATAAATTATGTTGGAACCACAAAATGGAGAAAAATTACCCCTTTATATAGAGAAAATCTGAGAAAATACGTTAAAATTATATTCCCCTTTTCTTAACTATTCTACGTACGTTATGAGTGACCCGTTCATTTATATTAGTTTATTTCCCTTCATCCTCCTCATTTTCGTCGTTTTATTTTAATTTTCGATGATTCTCTTTTATACGTCCCCGTGTCTCCTGAGGCAAGACGAGGAGCTCAACAGCTTCTCTACTGGAGCACACTTAAGTCGAGGCTGTTATTCAGCTTTCAACACATCTTAAGTGAGCGAATATGTGCACACGACTTCTTCAAAACTCACTTAAGATGTTGTTAATCATCTGAATCTTATCCTTTTCTCGGTAATGAAGTAAGATATTTTGTGAGCTCATTTGAGTGCATAAGACCAGATTTTCAACTTTAATCTTCGTTCATTTCATTCCTTTACCTATATTTACTGTTTCGAATAAATTACACTGTTTTATCGATTCACTGACCATTAAAGATATATTACAAAAAAGGTTCATAAAAAAAAGATCCCTCACTCGCGCTCAACAGTGGGGAATGGCGCTCAGAGGGCTATTAACGAAGCCCTCCCCCCCCCCCACCACCACCACCACCCCATCTCACAATAATGTTTATCTTAACTCAGAAAGAATGTCTCCCAGGCTGACAAATAAACTTTTTCTGAAGAATCATTTGTTTGTGTCAGGTGTCGACGATGGCCTCAGCGAGAGAAGTGATACAGACCGTTCTACACCCGCTGTTAGCTTAGCTTAGCTTAGCTTGGGTTGGGTTGGGTTGGGTTGGGTTGGGTTGGGTTAGGTTAGGTTTGTAAGTATGCTCTATATTGATAATTATCAATATAGAGCATACTTACAAACCTAAAATTGGCTTAAATAATCACGATTCAAATTATAATTTGAATCGTGATTATTTAAGCCAATTTTACATATAAAACACAAACTCTACTTTTAACCTACAAAGTTTTAGGTCTGAACTGTACCCGAATTTAACGTACACAAAAAAGAACGATAAAGAATATAAACTCCTGTCATCAGAGTCATGTGGTTTAACCTCTGAATAGGTTGACTTTAACTTCAACAGGAGAACCCCGCATTAAATAGAACGAAAAATATGCCATTAAAACTTTTCAGTGTCAACAATTTTCTTAATTCACCCATGGAAGGGGGGAAGGGAGGGTGGGGGAGGGAAATGTTGTTGTTTTTTCATATATTTCATATTTTATTACAAGACTTCAGAAACGTAAAGTGTTATTATTATTATTATTATTATTATTATTATTATTATTATAAATATTATTATTATTATTATTATTATTATTATTATTATTATTATTATTATTCAACGGAAATAAAGTTTGTTTGTTTTTCTTATAAGATTCCAGGAATATATACAACTTCGTAAGATAGACAATTAAGAGACAATAACTAGGCTGTAATGAACCAATCGCCGTGTGATGGCGGGGGCAGGGGTGACAAGGTTTATGGTCAAGAGTCTAAGACGTTTATACGATTATTTTTTCTGGTACTTGAAAGTGTTAGAATGCAGTTGGTCCCTTGACGCAAGTTAGAGCGCAGAAATAACCTTCATATATAATATCAAAATTAAACTGACACTTTACCTTATATAAATACACTCGTTAATCACATGTCATGGAACAAAAATTAGGTACAGACAAAAATTAACTACAGCCAGAATCTTTGTAATGTTCCTGTAGATTAATTTGACCTCCTAACCGGTGCCGAGTGAACGTTTAAGGTTAAGTCATAGTCTCGGGGTAACTTTTATGTTATTTTTTATGTCCTTTTTGTCTTTCCGTTAGATGCATGGTTACATCTTTAGTTACTGGAAATATTCCTCAGGCAAACCTCTGAGAATCCAGACGCGTCTGTCTCACATCATATACAGACAGATAGATTTATTTAGCTCAGATTTTTACAAAGTATGGAGCACAGCTCCTCATCACAACGACCACATATCACAGAAACGATTTACAATTCATACATTTACACTAACAAACCATGATTATAATTAATGGAGTAATTCCTTGTATATGTTCGTATCAACTATCTCGTTGTGCATTGGAAATTAATTAATCACACCCACCCAGACCCCCTACCCCCTGCACTCCCCAGCCCCCGTAATTTTCTCTACTCCTGATTTTTACATCAGCACTATCGAGCAAAAGAAAATCTTTGTCAGACGAAGAGCTCGACATCTTTACTGTAAGACAACTGGATCATAACTCGCAGATAAACCCGCGTTCTCTGCGTCCGCCTACCAGCGCTGACTGCCGGCTCTGGTCGGCCCTGGAAACCAACAAACTAGTAACCTGCTTTCTTTGTGTACTTACCCTTACCCCATTTGCTGGGAAGAAACAGGTGAAAAATACCGGTTGCAAGTTTTAGCTAGTTTAGTAAAAACATAAAAAAAATCGTTACCTCTGAATATCCGGCGACTAAAAGGTAAACTACAAAAGTTAGGCCACTGTGAAAAGTTTGTTGTTCTTTACTTTGTCAAAAGCTTTTTATGTAATAGGAATTACAAGAACAACAGAGCTGCTAGTGGATTTTTATACTGAACAGACTCCGTAAGCGAGACTTTGTAGTCACGTGGAGTCTCCTGCAGTACGTGTAGCCTGACAAAACATTTCATTTAGTCAGAAAGCTTATTAGGATGTGGTTAATTAATTTGTATGAGTTTATCCCAGCGGTTATTAGCTACGTCCTTTAAGATCCATATCATCACACGTAAAGCCTTACTAAAACTACCATATCGATCCCAGTGCATATAATATTTGCTTCACAGGTTATACGACCGTCGACACGCCATTGTAAGCAACACTAAACAACATCGAGTCCTCTATCTCACTGTGTTGAAATACTTTTGAGTGCGGAACCATGAAGGACCTCCCAGCACAACGAATAAGTCCCCAAATCCACAGCAGATATTCCCCTGGTGATTAAGTCACATAGGTTATCACCGGAGTGTATGTACAGTTGTCAGTAAAAGTTCTGGCAACTGTACCTAAAATGAGCATCGGGAGCTAACGACATTCTCTCATCTACACTGTTGCTCTACACGGAGGTAGCGGCGACTTACTCAGTTAGCTGAGACGCAATACCCCTGACCAAGTGCAAAAACAACGATGACCGATATATAAAACTGACTTGGACATACCTGTAATGTGAAGTGTTATGGTACATCACGGTCCCTCGAGGAACTGGTAACTTTCACTTTCCTGGAAAAAAACCGAAACGCGATCAGATTAATTTTCCATCCTCCTTTACTCCAATAAAATGTTTGTAGAGATTAAGGAAAAACTCGCCACTTATACCAGGTAATACTACAGGGTGTTTCAGCAAAGAGTACATTAAGTTGGAGGATAAAATCCTTGGATAAATTTAAACCACAATGTCTCCATGGTAAAATGTCAGATTCTGCTTAGTTTCCATGTTACAATACATTTAAGATATTGTATTAATGAGAGTGAATTTGAAGGTTTTTCTAATCATTTATTCACAGATCTCTACAGTGTGACCCCTCTTTGTTACAACCTAATGGAAATGATCAAAGTTGCCCCCTTCTGCCTTAATGCAGGCCTGTACACGTCATACCATTGATTGTCTGACACGTTCCAGAATGCCTGGGCTATGTTTAATTTGCTCCCACCTGTCACCAACACGTGGGCATATGCAGAATCTGACATTTTACCATAGAGACATTGTGGTTTAGAATTATCCAAGGGTTTCATCCTCCAATTTAATGTACCCTTTGCTGAAACACCCTGTACATGGGGAGGATCACAAACATATATTTGTTTTAAAGTAAAAATACTTATTAGGTGGGAAAGGATTAAATAATGACTATCTTTTCATCCACAAGAAAACTGAGAACTGAAGAAAACAGAAAGTACAAGAGTTCTCGGGAAGCTTTTGACTGTAATTCAGGTCCAAATGAGGTTCTATACTATTTATAATTGAAAGGCATTGGTTTTATTAAATTAATTATAAGTAATTTTAATGCAAATATATTGTAATTAGAAGTTTTTCTACATACAAATTAAAAGTGCAGATAAAGTTATTTAACTTTTGCTTACAAAAACTGAGCGCGGCCAACATGAATGTAGTGTGTTGTAGGATCATTTCATACATCCACTGTACAGTACATCAAGAAAATCTTAAAACAACAGAACTTTTGAACAACCCAGCATTTAATGTTTTCTTCCGAGCGACGGAAATACGCAAACAGCTACATCGGAGATTACAATTGAAAATTCATTTTTTGACCGGGAACGGAGATGCAAGAACTGAGGGCACCTGAAATTTTGCCCCGTGTGATACTGTACCTCATAAAGATCATTGAATTGGATCTAGTTGGTTTGTTGTTGTCTGTCATCATTAGTGTTTTAAGCCATCGGCCTACCTGAGGGATCATAAAGTCCTAAAAGAAAACTGGATATATTTCCCATTTCTACATATTTTCTTTCTCTCCTATTAGATAAGCATCTACGAATTACAACAAATGTGTCAAAAAGGATTATGCCCCCCCAAAATAATATTGCTTAATAAATAACTAAGGTGGCAACTCTCTCCGTAACATTTACCAATAATTGTACTCTTCAACTAACAGGAGCAACCATGATATAGAAATTATTTTAGCTAAAACCAAAAATTAATAAAAATCTAATTATATACAACTGTATTGATATTTTAATCAAAATTCAATAAACAGTAACAAGAGATGGTGAATACTTCCATCCCTCGACAAGGATCAGTACAGTTCCTCGATATAACTTGATACAGCGAAGTACAAGTTATAATGGTCAGAACACCAAAAAGGAGTTCACGAACAAACCTACATAGAAAATTTTCCGGTGTTGTGATTCTTATTCATTCAATCAGAATAATACTTCTTCTACATATTCTCTAAGACTAGCATGTCCTCATACGCTTGATTTCTCCTCAGTCCTGCCCACTGTCAGGTTTCAATTATCATTTTTAGCTAAAAGGCTTTAATTTAATCCAAATGAACCGATTGTTATGTAATATTAACCATGAGAGGGGGGGGGGCTGGGGGTGCTCCGAAGTTAGGTCAGGTTAGGTAGGTTTGTTTGGTTAGGTTGGTGAAGTCTTCGAACAACACTTGTGCTCCTTGTTTTTTTTTCTTCATATTAACTAAGGTTAGGTTAGGTTTAACTTAGAAATAACCACTTTTTAACACATTTTCACAACCTACAACAGTGTCCACCATAAAACACAGTGAAAATTCGGCGTTTTTATAATATTTTTCTATGAAAAATCGGCCGCAGGTCAGTCTTCAATAATTACCATTTTTACTTTACTACAACACGGGAATCTTAGGAATTTTATCTTTGCAATCGATACTTTAGACAGTTCCAAGACACTTCTTCGATGACGTTTTCCTCGCAAATGACCTAACCTTGCCTAATATCCATACATTTTATTTACGCCTACCGCTATGGGAACCATTGACAACAATAAGTACAGTTCAATAGCTGCTACAATGGGTTCATGTATACCAAGCATGTCACTCACAACACGAAATTGTGATGGAAATGCGTCAAAAAGATTCAGTGGTTGATGTCGGATTAGTATGGTGACAAACTTTGTTTCATCATTTTCTGTTGTTTATGGTTTTTACATACTGTACCTATAAAGCCAAGATGTATTGTCAATCGGTGGAAATCATTAATTGTCAATTAACAACCACCTTAAAATGCTCTGAGTTTATAATTTGCTTATTTATAGTATTGTAATAAAATATTAATGTTTTCCTCGTCATTTTTCTTTTTTTGCCTTGACTTTATTTCCATTCACTCAAAATTCGACCCCCTAATAATATCCTGGATCTGCCCCCGAGATCAAATACTCAATTGAAGCATTATTTCTAAATAAGATGATGTTCGAATCGTATTTAAAACCATTTTACCTATTGTAAAGAAACATCTACAGTCCTTTCTGATATTTTCACTGCCAGCGGGTGGACTGAGACGCCATTTTGTAAACACACCAGAAAGGTATTTGCTTATTTCCCATTCAATTATAAAACAAAATATCTATGTATTCTGCCTCGTTCTTGCGAAATGCGAAATGTTATTTGCATTTTTCATGGAGTGATTGGTAAGAGTTTTTAATGAAGGGGAACAAGGCAATGTTATAAAATTTTAACAGTTGCTTGTGTTATAGGGCGAGTCAACTCCTGCTCACAACAACTACAATACATCTCACCGTATAGCCTACTGTACAACCTCATATTTAACACATTATCCTAACAAATAAACCCGTGTTAACCACCACTTACCTCCTTATTAAATTTTCCCTCGCCAACGATGTCATTTTATAACACTTTCACTGTGAGACTTCTTAGCACGGCAACACTGGTAAGCAAACTGAGCAGAGTCAGCTGACCGTCGTCGTTCATGACACTGATTCATAAAACATCTGCAAGTAGGTGTCGGAGCTTCACGGGACTGAATAAACCTGTCTCATCACTGTGAAAAGACTGCAATTGTACCTCTCTCTTTGAATTTACGAAATACTAGATTCCCTGCTATAAAACCCATGTAATTAATTTATATATTTCAACTAAAATTATTCTAGGCACATAAAAAACCTTTTTACTCTTACAATCATAAAGGCCATTACTTCATATGAATGAGTTCACTGTAACGAACACATATCACCACTGGTCATGAACCTCTGAAACAACACTTCCAAACTCTGTCCTCTGTCTCAAACCATCATTCAACTGTGAAGAAACTTTGAGAATTTGGTTCTTATTTTGTATAACTCAATTTACTTAATGAATAAAACAAAAACAAAACACATAATGGAATAAAACACAACTATATTAAATCGTAATGTATCGCTAACAAATGACAAAAGAAAACATATTTTTATACCAATGCTTTCGCCGACATCCACCAAGCAGAACTACCAACATAATATATAAACTATAACATTATTCTTATGTGTTTATGATTCACTTCAGTGCTGTACTAATGTGTTATATAGACTGTAGGTAAATTCATAGGAGGAGACGACAAGTCAGACTTATTTTTTCAAGAACTTGGTGTTTCATGTATACGTGTATTAGGAAGCACGGTATAAATGACATGGCGGTGGAGGTGGTGGAAGGAAGGTGACAGAAGTGGAGAAGGAGGGGATGATGGTGGGGAGGAAGGTGAGGGTGGTGGGGAAGAGGGTGAGTGAGGTGGCTAAGAGGGTAAGAGAGATGGGGAAGGAGGTGAGGATAATGGAAAATAAGGTGATAGAGGTGGGGAGGAAGTGATTGAAGTTGAAGAGGATGGGGATTAAGGGTGATCGGGGGGAGGATGGGGTGGAAGTAAACTATCTCGTCTAGAAGTAACTAACTATTTCTCAAGCTTCATTTACAAGTATAAGGAAATACTGAATGAACACCTTATCTTGATACTTCTATAACATAATTAAAGATATTTCTTCGTAATCTGCTGTAGCTAATAGTTGCCTGACGCAGTGTCGTGCTGCAGCTGCGTCTAGTACAGGGTAAATAAGTTTCCTATAAGGCAGCAGTGTCCATCATTATACTGATCCTAGACAATGGTTTATTTCTTAACTCCTTAACGTGATTTGTCTCACTAGTGGTTCTTCTCTGTGGTAGTAAACATTCTTTGGAGTACATCACTACCCCCCCCCCTCTCCCATTTTTTATCGTACTGAAAATGTAATCAATTTCAATGTGTGGGATACATTATCAAAACACTGTGCACGTGTATGCTCAGGGTCAGTGAGGGAGGCGTGCGATGCTGTGACGGGTGTGTGTGAGTGTCGCCCGGGAGTAGGTGGCAAGAACTGTGACCGCTGCCTCCCGGGTTACTTTGGCCTCCACAGGGTGTCTGACGGCGCCATCGGCTGCACACGTGAGTAAAGTATCGTAATTACTAATAAATAACCATAGATTATCATCATCAACATCTTAGTGCAAAAGTCGTACTGCAATAAACATTTAACCCCTTCACTACGGGGACGCCACTCGAGTATTTTGACTATATAACGTTAGATGATTTTATTCAACAGAGAGGTAACCCCGTACCAAGTGATTAATATCTTAACTTTATCTTAATATATAACTACGATCTAGTTAATGTGTTACAGATTGAGAAGTTTATAAACACCTAGATACAATTCATCTCTTGAGGTCCTTATGACATCCTGTACTTGATAAAATAAAATCAACGCGTTAACAATGTTCTTATAATGATAGGTTATAACTTAGTTGACTAAATAATTGAGATTAACTCATCCATCCGGCGAGGTGTTCCTGCAGCTTGTGGGTGCTCGCTGTTCGGGTCACTCAGGTCCGACTGTATGCAGATGACGGGGGAGTGTGTGTGTAAGACTGGGGTGACGGGCCACCGCTGTACGCTGTGTCCTCGAGGCCAGGTTCTCCGTCTAGAAGGATGCATCTATGGTGAGTAATAGTATAGTGGTGATGGTGGTGGTAGTGGTGGTATGAGTGTAGTAGTGGTGGTAGTGGTTGTATGAGTGTAATGGTGGTAGTGGTGGCATGGGTGTAGTGGTACAGTGATGGTAAAAGTGCAGTGGTGTTATAGTGGTGATAATGAAGTGGTGATGATGGTTTAGTTCGTAATGGTGAAGGTGTACAGTATTTGTGAAGGTATAGTGGTGGTGATGGTAGTGTGGTGTTGGTGGTGATGGTAGTACGGTAATAGTGGTGAGGTGAAAGTAGCGCGGTAGTGGTGATAGTCTGGTAGCGTTGTGATACTAGTGGTGTTGATGTAATGGTGTCAGTCTGGGAGTGTGATGATGGTGGGTAGTGGTGTGGTGAGGACTGACGGTGTGTGTGTGTGTGTGTGTGTGTGTGTGTGTGTGTGTGTGTGTGTGTGTGTGTAGGTTATATCACATATTTCAACAATTAATATATAACGTGTATCTGAAAATTTCTTGTGAAATAAACTGTTTCATTTCAACTCAGGTGTTTAATCTCTGTAATTAATGTACAAACGTTAGCGGAAGACTAAGTAAGCGAAACGTGGTTTAACCTATGTTAAAACGGGAACATGATTTACATATAAATTAGATTAAAAACTTTGTATGTGCTTTTTGCGTGCTACGTCTAATTATATATATTTTAAAGGAAAAAAATAATAAAAGGATTTAACAAGTAACAATTATACTGAGTTTTCACCTTCCTCATTGGCGTTAATCTATAGCTCTTTGTAAACATAAAACACACCTTGATATAAAGGTTACCAGATAGGGTGCGTGTTTCTTGAGGCTCTCTGTTTTAAGCGACGTCTGAATTTGCATTTTACTTGAATTTTAATCTTATTTCCACACTCGGCAGATCTCAGGGAGAATGACTATTTACATAAAGGCGTGAGTGTCACCCCAGATGATAATGGCAACAGTCACATTAATTTGGCGTAATGTTTGTTCTTTGTTAAGGGAATCTTCTGCATCCTTAACTCTGTGTATTTAACTCTACCAAATTCTTGATTGCAATTATTAACACACCTGAGGAACTTCACACCTGTCTTCCAGTAATTTGACACCTGTAGTACCAAGTTGAATTTAGTTTATATTAACCTGGGGTAGAGATCCTGGGTGTATTGTAAGTTGCCTTCACTACCCCGCCAGAGGACCTGCTCGTGCCCCAGGCCACCACCTGTGACCTCCTCCAGTGCAACTTCGGGGGTCGCTGTTCTGAGGACGCCGGAGCCGCTACCTGCGTCTGCATCCACCACTGTTTACCGGTAACCCACCACTATCTCCCTCTAACCCACCACTATCTCCCAATAACCCACCACTATCTCCCTCTAACCCACCACTATCTCCCACTAACCCACCACTATCTCCCAATAACCCACCACTATCTCCCTCTAACCCACCACTATCTCCCTCTAACCCACCACTATCTCCCAATAACCCACCACTATCTCCCAATAACCCACCACTATCTCCCTCTAACCCACCACTATCTCCCTCTAACCCACCAATATCTCTCTCTAACCCACCACTATCTCCCAATAACCCACATCTTTCATCAGTGTTTTTCATCTACGTTTTGCATGATTAATTTTACATTCCTCGTCATAATACATTGACTAATGTTGAACACTACAAGCGCCTCTGATATAATTGCCCGAACTTACTTAAATCTCTTTATTGTTTTACTTACAGAGATTAATATATTATCCCTCAAAGTGTTTATATAGTTTGTAACGTTAATTGGCAGTTCATATTTTTGTTTATGTTTGGTGAAATAGGTAACAGACTTAATTAGCCCCAACCTAACTTACCCATTGTGGTTAGTATCAATTTCTCATCGGAATCAGTCCTAATGGGCGTAACTATTATTAACCTCCTATGACAGTTGAGACTCACATGGCATCTAACCATATTATTTACTGTGTAAGTTTATCCGGCAGGAGAGAGTTAGTCTAGATGACAGGAAGAGTAGAGTTTAATCCTTGACGCATGACTAGATCATTACATCAGGGATTATCATGATTATTGAATTTTGTTGATGATTCATAGAAACAACTGGTGTTGGTTGTGCAGGCTTCACCCTTGTTCTCTGGTCCTCATGATAGTTTGGCTTCACCGAGTTCCTTGATGTGTACTTTAATAGAACTTCTCACTCGCTGATATCTCTCACTTTCTCTCTCTGTGGGCGTACAGAGTGGCGTGGGCGGAAAGCTGGCAGTGTGTGGGTCGGACAGGGTGACGTATGCCTCCGAGTGTGAACTGAAGCACCAGTCGTGCGTCCAGCAGGCGGACATCGTGGTCGTGGCCTTCGGGTCATGTACTGGTGAGACAACGCTGCCGTGGCTGATGTACTCAAGTAGTAATATGTGATGCTAGTCTGGGGAATAAAAAAAAAAACATTGCATAATAATAATTGATTCCAAGCACTATAACAGTCTGATCTTGTCACTGTTGTTAGAGTCTTGGACGGACGCTCCTGTACGTCGGTCCACCGCCGAGGACGGATGGGGCACTGAGGAATGGGCGTGGCCAGGGAGGGGCCTCACTGAACACCACGCCCTCGCTACTCGCAGACACATAGACGCCGCCCACTTCACCCGCGCTCACTCTGCCAACCCCTCTCACTCCATCAATATGATCGTTGAGTCGCCGACACACGTTGTGACACCCAAGACGGCACTGGACTCGGAGGAACAAGGCCACATCTACCCGCTCTCAGCAGCCACCAAACAACCCTATAAAGTGCCAGCCTTCACGGGCACCTCCTATATACAGGTGATCCCCCCCCCCCCCTGTGTCTTCCATTACATAATTTTAAACAAATAATTTACTCTTTTATTACAAGCCTTTACGTAATGCTCGACACAGATCCCAATTTCTTCTAAATAAACTATTATTTTCCTGGGATCATTTCTTAATTAATGACGTTTGACTATAATACAGTTGATGCCGTGGTCAGTACCGACGAAGGTGCAGCTGGAGGTGGAATTCGTAGCGCACGAGCGAGACGGAGTGTTGCTGTACATCCAACAAAACCTGGGAGGAGTTGGCGACTTCCTGGCGCTAGTCCTTAACGGCGGGTACGTTACTCTACCCTTGTTACCACTACCTCCCTACCACTATCTACCTCCACCTCTCCCTCCCCACCAATACTCACCTCCACCACTACCTCCCCACCACTATCTACCTCCACCTCTCCCTCCCCACCATTACTTACCTCCACCACTCCCTACCTCCACCACTCCCTACCTCCACCACTACCTACCTCCACCACTCCCTCCCCACCACTACCTACCTCCACCACTCCCTCCCCACCACTACCGACCTCCACCACTCCCTCCCATCACTATATACCTAACTCCAACAACGTGTTTTTTAAAGACTTCACAAAAACTAATATTCATGCCCGAAGAATCATGGGGGTCATGTCTGAGGGTTGGTGATCCCGGCCCTCGACTCCAAGCGTTTTCGGGCTGTCTTTACCAATCCTCTTATATATTTTGTACTGCTCTTTTAATAACATCACTGAGGGCACTAACTCTTCCTCATCTAGCCAACCCCTGAGGAGAGTTTTCTGCTGTATCCTTTTTCTTTGTGATTTTTCTATTATAACTAAGTCCTCCTGTGTGGTATTGGTAAGAAACACACTGCAGTCCTTCATCACTTCAAGATTTCTTTCCTACTTCTTCTCGTCTTAATTTTTATATGATGACTCTAATCCATCGGTAGCTCTCAGAAAGACTCCCCCTTCCCCTTCTCTTCCCCACATTGTGTTTCCTTTCCCGTTCTTTTATACTCATATCACAAAAAAAAAACGAGAAACAGGTATATTTTTCCAAAGCTCTGTTACCACAATGAAGTCCGTCCATCACGGGGAGCTCTTCACCCTACAAAGAATAAAAAATAAATGGTCACAATGATCCATAAACTTAATCCCATTTCCCTTGTACTCCTTCCTAATTCTTTCATCTAGACTAAAAACTCGCGAGACCCATTCATCCTCAGCAAAACCCTTCGGCCACACCAACGAGGATTTTTCCCCTTATTCTTCCTGAGGAGATCTTTAGTATTTCTTTATCATATCCTCAGCTTTCCCCTTCCTTACATCCCTCGGTCCCAACAAACAACAACAGCAGTATCCTCAGTGCTCGTCTAGCTAGCCTATCAAGTCACAAAGTTTCTCTCGGTTGTGGACGCTGCAGCTTTTGGTAAACACACGTTCACTCTCTCTTTTACCGACCTCACTTGTATAAAACTTCCCAGACACAAGATCTGACAAGAATCCGAGACAACCAGGACCTCCTTCTTCTCGTTTAACACTTCACACTGTTTGTTGTATTCAAGAAGCATCTTTTCCCCCCTCGACTAACTTTACTCTCGCGTTGCTCACTTCACCACTCTTCCACTCACCTTCCTCGTTTCCTTGATCCTCACCTCGCTCCCTCACCTGCCCCTCAGCGATCCGACCCTCCCTCCTTCCTCTACTTCAACACTCTTTACGTTCTTACATTTTCTAACTTTCTTCTTACAACACTTTGCACACCTCTTTTATCCCTATGTTTTTTTCTTGCACAGTTACGCTTCAAGAGGACAATCTCTTTTACCAGTCTGTCACGCAGTTTTTCCTCCACACAAACTCGACACATAACCTTGTTCTCACAGCTCTCTCTCCACACGCTAACCATAACACCACATATAAAGTATAATAGTTTTTTTTAGGCAACTTGAAGCCACTTTGACATTTCTTTAGTTGTCAGAATCTATGTCTCACACCAGATAACTTTAAATACCTTACTTCAAATTCCATATATTAGGTCAAAAATAATATATAAATAATCGAGATAAAAATAAATTAGTAAGATCAAACATGACTAAAGCATTAACCTTATTAACTGGGTTCCTTGAGGTCACCAATACATTGTTTCGTTCAGGTGATATGATGAGACAGATCACCATTAACCCATCAACGATAGGTAATGATAAACACACTTCTCTATTGGCAGATATTTGGAGGTTCGTCTTGATCTGGGCAACGGACAGATCACCGTCAGGTCACCGGCGCCAGTTGACCTCTTCACGAAGACTCAGGCCAGCGTCAGGACATACAATAGGTCAGTATCGTTCCTTCTTGACCTTATGTTACTCTTTGGTGGCTTAAGAACACTTCTTTGACCTGACCTCACTATGATGACCTTTCCTTACATTATTTGTTTTCATTTCGTGACTTGTGTGTGTCTGTCTGTCTCTTCTCAAATACACATCGCCATAGTAATGATATGTCCCTCCAATAAAACGTCCTAACTGAGCCCTTAGGTAACAGTTCCTCATAAGGGTGTGTGTGTGTGTGTGTGTGTTGTGTTTTTTTGTGTGTATGTGTTTTAAGATATAATGCCTTGGGTTGTATCCTACAGAGACGCACTTCTACAAATGGACGTGGGAGAGAAGGTGTCCGTGCGGTCAGACGGCGTACATCACGCCCTTGACATTCACGCCCCGCTGTATGTGGGGGGCGTGCCCAGCCTGACGCCACAGGTGCTCGAAAACCTGGGCGTGGCCAAGGGCTTCACCGGGTGCGTCCACTCCCTTAAGGTCGGCCAGCGAGCCCTCGACCTGGTGAGTATCTTCTCCTATCACAACAGCGCCACTGCGGGCGAAAAGCAACCTACCATTTGCCTGGCGTACCTTCCATTATTGTATCAACAAGGTGAAATGAACGCTAGGTGCTGCTGATCGCTTGTACTGGCGCTATTTTTCATTATATCGCTAATGATGTGGTATTGGCTGGGTGCTGGTAACAATGGATGAGATGGCGCAGAATAGGTATAAGGTGTTCTACAACGTGAAGAACAATATTAAGTACAGTTACGAGTAGAGCGACTGGGATCAAAGAATTGTGGGGATGACTCACCAAGTAAATCTAGAAGGATTGTGATACTAAAAATGTGAGAGAACTTTTTCACGAGAAGATGGACATGGGTTTTGTTGAGAAGAAGAGAGATAAGAAGCAATATGGAGAGAAGCCAAGTTCTTTAGCAACATTTTTGGAGAGTTCGAAGGTATACTAAACCCTGAGGATCTTCTGAATTATGTTGTGATAGGGGAGAAGTAGTGGGTAAAGCTGAAGTTTGTTTGGGTGGAGTTACGGCACTGAGATCAAAGTGAATTGGAGATAAGAAGTGAGGAGTATGATAAAAACTTTTAGCCCAGAACCAGAGAAATTTACTACCACTGGTATTCTGTGTATTAAGACTGAAGTTTTGAGCGATGATACCTTCTGCTGGCAAAGGTGACCGTAGACTTTTACTAAATTTACGTAATTTAGTATATCAAGTGTTGTGAGTGAGGTTACGTTTCCACAGTTTATACATATCTCATGTCCTGTGGCTTAATGACAGATCAAATCATAGATGGAAAGCAGATGATCCGTAAGAGTTAAGTAAGATAAATATGTAAATTTTATGGTGCACCAGGATGTTTTATTGGTGAGCTTCCCGAGAGTTCAAGAGAAATCACGAATCCCATCAAGTTAATTCTGTTGGAGTGTTAAATAATACGAGATTTTAATGAATAATGGCAAGTTATGGAATTTTAAGACTGAAGAGAGATTTTGATGGTGTTAAGACTTAAGTAAACAGCTGGAGTAAGCCCGTGTAAGGTATGTTTCTCAAGGGTGTGGGGGTGGACTAATTTACGAGTTCCATAAGGTTCTACTGTTCTTAGGTCATGATTAGTGGTAAGAGGAATGAGTAAACCAGACTGACCTGCTACTCTGAAATATACCAAACCTGATACTCATAACAGAGAGTTTGTTTTTGTAGTGTTGATGGAATGTAGAAATGTGAAATTTTAGAATAATGAAGGAGCGGTGATGTAGACGAAGAACGAGGAAGAGCTTATGAATGAGAGATACCTTGAACCAGAGACGAGATAATACGTTTTAAGATGGAGTCACTGGGGAATGTAATTAGGGGAATACGCAGAGAACTCAAGCCTCAGTCTAGGGAGTTCTGATACTCTGCCAGGGGAAAAGTAGCCGACGTGTGGATGTGTTGAGGGAAGTAGAAAGTGAACTAATTCATTAGTTAAGCTTATAATCCTATTAATGCAGAACTTAATAACAAGAGAAGAGGGGGAGCGAGCAGCCATAGGCGTATAAGAGCTACAGTAATATTTTTATATGAATTACTGACATAATAGTTGTGTTTAATAGGTGTAATTTATTCTAATAACAAATGTGAAAAGCAAGAAATTCGATGACCTTGCCTGTCAAGGAGACTAAACACAGGAGTCTTCTGTTGTTAAGAGGTAACACGCTATTTGCTGTGCTCAAGGAATTGTGAAAAAAATCCTTAATGTGGTCAAGGAGCTGCGAGATGAACTTAGTGGGATCTAAGGGGTAGTAGACGACCTGACTTGGGTCATAACTAACTGTTCAGGAGTAACTAAAGAACATCTCTAAGGCCACATGGTAACAAATAACCTTTCATCGGAAGCTAGGTCTAATAGATGACATTCCCTACAGACCTTGGGGTTCAAAAATTAAGACGTCATATGACCTCCAACCACAGAATGACCAGCTGCCCTTCGCTGAAGTCTAGAGGGTATGAGATGATCTTATCTGTGCCCAAGACATTCACACATGACCTTGTCTCTGCCCTGACAGGTGTGGGGACGGTCCGGGAGCGTCGGTCACGCCCACAACGTGAGTGAATGCCGCCCCTCCCCCTGTGCCGCCCACCCCTGCACCAACGGGGGCACCTGCCGCCCACGGCCACACAGCCTCGGCTTCCTCTGCCACTGTCCTACCTTATACACAGGTACGTACGTCTGCACAACACCTGTTAACACCGGTGTTATCTAACACCACCTAATACACCAGATAACACCAAAGTCATTTAACATCAGACTAACAGCATTGTTGACAAATAACACCACTCTATCAGTAACACCAACTAACGTTAACATCAACTGACACTATCACTCAAACCGGCTGTCACCAGTATCATATAAAACTATAACCAGTTAACACCATCACCACTGCTAGTCAACACCAGCACTAATTAACGCGTCAAATGACACCAATATCAGCTATCATAAGTATCAAGTAACAAACGTAGCAGCTAGCATTAACAGCGTGTAGATCAAGTATCAATAGCCACAAGAATCCACTGAGCAAATGAAAACTAAGAAGAACATCAACTAAAATATCAGGTAACATCAGTATCAGCTAGGGTAAGTATCAGCTAAGGTAAGTATCAGGTAACACCACTATCACCTCACAAAAATATCAGGTAACAGCGGCATCACTAGCACCATTACCAGTATCAGTATCGGTGAACCATAAGCTATCACTAACACATGTCATCAACCTAAGTTAATGTCTGCCAAAATATGGATTTCCTCTCCCACGATTTACCAGAGTGACTGATGAAGGCAGACAAATATACAGACTACTAGACAGGGAAGAGGGTGAGAAGGGTGCATTGAAAGGTACAAAGACAGATACTGGGAAAGCGAGATAGGAGACAGTACAGAATAACGGACAAGCGGAAAGAGAATGAGATGGAAGAAACAGAGAAAGCAAACCAAAAAGTCAACTGCATAATTTTCATAAAACGATAAAAGTGAAAAAGCCAGATGGAAGTTTGGTTCCCACGTGAAATGTGTTTGTAAGGAAGATTTACGAGACGGCCACACGTTCCCCTTGGTGGCGGGCGGGCGGCGGGCAGTGGCGGCGGGCACCCTAGACCACCGACCACACTTGACGGATGAACGCGGGAACTTGTACTGCCTCTCCTTGGCTATCAGGCCACAATGAACAAGATATTAGAGTCACGCTTACACACTTCCCTATAATGCTCTTTTGCCAGGAGAGACACTCACTGATCAACAGGTTAGCCTCTCAATATGGAGGTTTGAGGTAAGAGACCCCACTGTATGGTCGACGGAACCTCGTGGGGTCCAGTAAATATACGACCGTAAGCAGAATTCGCCACACACCCGCAGGTTTATTTACGTAATGGTACGATACACTATCATTATAGTGTTAGGAAGACTCTCTTGACCATAAATCCAGTTTCTACGAGATCGAACGCTGGTCTCATTAACCAGCAAGGTGTCAGGTCAGGGATTCACACCTGTAAACCCATAATCGACAGAACGGATTAATTTCGCCATCTGTATCCACATTTCCTTATCATTTCAGGTCAGGTTATCTGCTCGTTTCCCTTGCCATAAAATGGTATTTCCCCTCTCAAGTGACCCTCACAGGTGATCTGGTGAGATCTATGACCAGCTAAGAATGGGAGAAGGAGGTCAAATGTCAGTTAAAATCACCATGAGATAAAAGCAGGAAACGTATTTCTCCTAAGAGATGCATATCAAGGACTAACCTCATTTGCCTCCGAGCGCCACACACACATTGATTGGGAAAACACTTCGTTAAGATATCCAGGAACGATAACTCTTGTCGAGAGCCCGGAACTTGTGACCTAAAGACATTTGCTTCTCAATAACACCAAGGAGGAAGCATGTCCTCATAAACCAGGCGCTTTGGTGGTGTAATGAGGTTACTTGACCTTATTTTTCACCATCGACTCAGAAATATATTTTATATTGGAGATATTTGCAATAAGAGTTGTCTTTAAGGTGTCTGATAACATCAACAGGAAGCTTAACACTAAGGTCAGAGATGAATGGTGGCAATACTGAGCCAGAAAACGGAATTGGAAATCTTAGGTATAAACTTTGTGTTGAGTCAGGTGAATGATCGTAAGTTCTAAGCCATTAATGTCTCACTGCTGGAATATAAGACCAGTGTTTACTCTCAGCTAGGAAGGCTCAGAATCTGTCCCTATTTTATGCCCATATAATGACAGCACAGTATTATGAAACTCACTATTGTCATTGGTAATAAAATTGATAAAAAAGAGTAATACAGAAGCTGGAAGGGCAGACCACTGTGACAGAACAAGTTTACTTTCAGAACACCAACCACAGCCAGCCATTAAAGACCGTCATGTGATGTAGTTTCGTTTTAATGTATTCAATTATTTGCCTGTCGCTAAGTGAAAGTATCTGTATAAGGTCGATAGCGATGCAATCTTGACGCTAATAAGCTATCATTTTGTGCTTACGCTTAAAGGAACAAGTGAGATGTGTTTGCTCATCATTGTTCATCTCTACGTACAAAGAAATACAACTTAAAAACCACAGACTTGTGAACTCAGGGTACTGGGAATAACAACTCTGAAACAGTAATTGAACTGAACATGAGGGATCCGTGAGTGTGTATAATGCTGACCTGAACTTTCACTAGTTCATTAAATCACCTGTAGATCCACCAGAAGTTGGATTTATGGGTGAAAATATTGTTATGCCTCTGGTTAACAGCATCAACTGTTAGTGTTCCTGGAATTAACTAATAAGGAAAAACGCATTCCAAGTTACCTGCATCTCTCAAGTCCATCACTGCCACACATCACACAGCTCTTGAAATTGTGTCTAGTAAGTATTTTCTTTAAAGACATACAGTCACATAAAGAAATTAATTTTAGAAGTCAATGAGTAAAAACTGTACTCCCATGAAATTAGAAAAATATTAAGAATCACACAAAAAAATATATATCAATAAAATTAATCTTCGGAGGAGAGGAGGCAATACACATTTCCCTGGTGGCACGAATAAGGGAAAAAAAACCATCACAAAAATCCTTCTCCTCAGAATCCAATTTGGTTCCTCAAGACAAACACCAGACAGACGCGAGCCCCAGACGGACACCCAAGGCACAGTCTATCTATACTCATATATCTTGTCCCGGGTCACAGGAAAACCGTCTCTTAAATCTAATGTTTCTCAGGTTTACGCCCCGTTAATGTATTGTTAATGTATGTAGTTATTCTTAGCGTGAATAAATATTGTGATATGTTACGATAGAGGAAGGGCTGTAGTGTTGTAATGACTTCAGGTGTGTGTGTGTGTTATGTACTTTACTAAGAATTATCATGTGCCACGGACCAGAACACTCGCTAGCCATACTTACGTCATGTTCAACTTCAATCATGTCCAACCAGGCAGCCGGTGTGAGGTGGAGGTGAGTGAGGGTTGTCGTCGCCTGCAGTGTCCTCCCGGCACCACCTGTCAGCGCGTCCCAGCAGCTACCACCCTCCACTGCGTCTCGGGTGAGCTTTTACCTCTCCAACACCCGTCTGTTCCTCTGCCTCATATATTGTTTGATGTTAAGTTCAGTCTTTTACAAATTGCCTTATTTTAATGACTTTGTAACATATAAACACTTACCAATGCAAAGAACAAAGTGGGGGGAGGGGGGAGGGAAATCGTTACCTGAAGTATCGATAGTTTTAAGTTATTGAGATTTTGGTCAGAGTTACGGTGCACCCGCAACAACACGGCGACTTGCTCTCGCCTAACTACAGTTTAAATTCTAAGCCTGTACAAGGTTCAATATTGTCGTCGTTTTGATTAATTACTGTAAAAGGCTCACGTAAGAAACTAAGTTCAGTTGGATGTTGTGATAAATCCTCCAAACGGATTTACAGTCAAGCGGATTATAATCATACAGACTCCTGTAGTTCAGTCAAGCGCCACTACAACTGATCCAGGAAGCAGATGGAAATTTAAATTATTAGAATAAAATTTACTTCCAGGTAACTCGGCCCCAGCAAGGTGCTGGCTAGGATTCCTACAGGTGGTGAGAAACACAATAGAGCTTGAGACTATCAGAAGGTAGTTTATTAACACATGTTTATGCTGTCTGTGCTCAGAGTTGGGCGCAGAGGAAGCGTGGCCAGTTGCAGACCTGAAAGGGCGTGGGTATCTTGCTCTGCCGCGCCTGCAGGCTGTGTTAGAGGGCGTGTCGTTGGAGTTGTGGTTCCTGGCGCGCGCCCCCCATGGCATGTTACTGTACCAGGCGGAGGGACCCGCCCATCGTGGTGACTTTATCAGCCTCAACCTCGCCAGCGGCTACGTCCAGTTCAGACTGGATGTTGGCCCTGGTGTGGTCAACCTAACGTGAGTATTGTTGTTATGTTGATATTATTGTTGTTGTGATTGTTGTTGGTCTGAATGTATTTAACATCACATTAATGTTTTAGATGTTGCTGATGTTATTGTTGCTCACATTATTGTTGTTGTTGTTGAATTCGTCCCGGTAATGGTGAACCTCATGTAAATTGTATTATTAGTGTTGTTGTTTGTGAATGTTTATGTTACGGTTATTCTTGTTACTGATTGGTTTAGGGTTGGTCAACGTCACCCAAATGTTGTTGTGTTGCTAGAGTTGTGTTTAGATGTGTATGATCAGCATAATATGAGCAATGGTGTTTTTGTTGTTGATGGTGTTATAACTGTCGTTCATATCAGCGTTGTAGCTCAACCTCACACAAGTGCTCTTGGTGACAAAGTTTCTGAGACTTCCGGGTCAACCAATAAGAGACTGTCGTGTTTATTGTGGTTGGTTACTGTAACTGTCATTGTAGTTGTCGTTGTTGTGGTGTTGTTGTCTTCATGGAACTTTTCATCTTCCCTTTTTGCTTTAGTACATTCTGTTTTTGTCAATTATTTGTTATCTTAATCACCCTTCACTTTACACCTCTATTTGTTTCCTTATCACACGCTCAGTTTACATTGAAATATCCTCTGCAGTGTGTGTGTGTGTGTGTGTTACTCTTTACAATGTTCAAGCTCCACCACGCTGGATATCTCTTTATGCCTTCCCTCTCTCGTGTCCACACATATATTTCCCAGCATTTCTCTCCGTGGAAACATTTCTCACGTTTTGTTTATTTTTATTTGTTTTTCAACCGTTCAGTTTTAGGTGCAGAGCAGCGAGCCGCCAGCCCGTGTTCCTGATATACACCAGCATCCCACCTTTAACATTCTTCGTAGTGTTTCAACAATAATGTCTATATTTCCCTTAATTACACAATATAAGATCAATGATACGTGTGTTTATCAATAATTGAGTGCTTACCAGGTCCACATACACCACATAACAACATACAGCTGAAACCTCTATAACTTTCCTCAGTAATGGCCGCATATTGAGGAGCTTAAACTTATAACCACGAGACATAGACACTCAGAATACCTCTCCAACACCCCTTAACCCCACCACCCACAACCCCACTCAGCCCCCAACCCCTCCCTCTCGGTTCTTCCTTCCTGTCTGCACCCCAGGTTAGATAATAGTCCCTCTGAATTATCCCAAAAGACCATCATAAAGTGGGAGGTCTCTCAGCATAAGATACTCTGAACTAAGACCATCAACACGAACAAGAACTAAAACCACATCAAGATTTAAAGTCATGAAGGAGACACCAGAGAACACAAGACTGACTAAAACCTCTTCCTAATAACCTCATGCCACCAGAGGTAACCACGAGTATCTGTACCACCACCAATATCATTCTGGAGTTAAGAGGGAAGGATATACTCGTGGATAGGTAAAGGGATCTGGGAAGGATATCTTGCATCACGATTATTACGTTAGCAGGAGGGAGGTGGTGGTACACGAGTAATAATGGTAGGTGGGGGAGGGGGTGTATAGAACAGTACAGGCAGAGATGATTAACATTGCTGGGAGTTGAGTATGATAGACTGTGATGTGGTAAGATGTGATGTAGTTCCAAGATTTGGCAATTATGTCCTGGCCTTATACCTGTGACCAGCTCAGAGAATTCACTCCTCAGTTAAGAGTCGCCCCTCTGCAGCTAAGAGTCGCCCCTCTCCAGCTAAGAGTCGCCCCTCTCCAGCTAAGAGTCGCCCCTCTCCAGCTAAGAGTCGCCCCTCTCCAGCTAAGAGTCGCCCCTCCCCCCCACCCCAGCTATAAAAACCGCCCTTCTCCTTACAGGTCGACCGAGGTGGTGCAGGAGGGAGCGTGGCACCGCGTGAAGGCGTGGTGGGAGGGGGGTCGAGCCTCGCTACAGGTAGACGAGCATCCCCCTGTCACCTGCCCCGCCCCAGGACCCCCACATACCCTCACCCTCAACACCCCACTCTACCTAGGTGGCTTCAGGTGAGTCTCTCTCTCTCTCTCTCTCTCTCTCCCTCTCTCTCTCTCTCTCTCTCTCTCTCTCTCTCTTAGTCTCATAATTCCTCCTCCAACAAGTGTTTGTCTTTCAGTGTATTATCACGGTACAGTAAATCAAAATATCTCCGTTATACAAACAATATTCCTGCATGTATATATATATATCCTAATCTACATTCAAAATTACAAACTTATCCTAATTTTGTGAAAATTTCCTATAGATATTTTCGACATATTTTCCTAATTGATTTTTCCTTTAAATTATTTCAAAGTAAATAATCATCAGTCTCTCATTGTGAAGGTCCATTACTATTCTGTTTATGAGACTCACAGTAATCACCCTGAGAGTAACAGCTGGGGATTTTGATTACCTCTCAATGTCCCTGCCTGCCAGTGAGACCTTTGCTTTGGTATGCTGCACTCTTGTATTGGTTCAGTTACCATTTGTTTGAATGTGGCAGTATCTCATCTGCACTCTGTACTATTGTGTAATATCCCATCTACCCTGTATGGTTCCATGGTATGACCTCAGCTACTCACTGTGGTAATGTCAGGTACACCATGTGGCTATTGCTGTGTTATCCCAGCTTCAGGGTGTGTTGTCATAAGTGTGTCATGAGTACTGTGGTTTTCTCCCAACATCAGACTCTGGTACTTGGTGAATCGAGAGTCAGGCATCCTGGTGGGTCTAGACGGAGCACTACAGAGGTTACTGGTGAACGGCGTAGTGTACAGCAGGCTGACGGAGGCGGCGACGGAGCAACGGGGCGTATCGGTGTATATAGGCCCTCCCTGCCACCCCAACCCTTGTGCCAACGGTGGCCTGTGTGTGCCAATTCTCGCCAACTTCTCGTGTCGCTGCCCAGTCATGTTCGTGGGCAGACTCTGTCACAAAAGTCAGCACACACTGTAGTAATGTTTGTTGTGGTGATGTACTGTACCTCTGCATGATTCTCTCTACAGTGCTCTTCTACCCATCAACTAGCTGCTCCCTCCCTTTTTTTTCTTGGGTCTTTTCCTATCTCGTGGAATATCTCTAAACACCTCCTTTATCCAACGTTTATATATTTTTTTCCTTTGAGCATTATGTCTTCCTCAATACAATAAAAAATGTTCTGCGCCTCAAATAACATCTTGAGATCTCACCCGTTTGTGTCTTCTCTTCTCCTACCTGGTATGCTTATTATTATTATACATTTTATTATTTTTTTTTCCCATCAGTTGCATTTTCTTCTTATTCTTACTGTTATTCTCCATGTTTTTATCCTTCCGTGTGTTAAGGTTTAGTGGTATGCGATGATAAAGACAAGAAAGAAGCATCAAAAATTAAACTATCCAACGCTAGTCTGAGATCACAATAGGTAACTGTTTGGTTGGTCACTGATATCTTTCGACATATCAGGGTTTTAATAGAGGTAAGGAAGTCATTTTTATTTCTATTTTCACAGGGATTTTTGCATGTTAATTTACTCTTTTTAGAGATATAATTGATGATAAATATATTCTTGTGGTATGGAAATGAAATGAGATGAGCACCTCTTTCATTTCACACACACACACACACACACACACACACACACACACACACACACACACACACACACACACACACACACACACACACACACACACACACACACACACACACACACACACACACACACTTGGTAACAAATTCTTGTTTTCAAACCTTGACGTTAAAATGATCATTAATTTTTGTTTTCTCGTAATAGTTAAGTACCAATGTTAAAGTCAGACAATGAGAACTAACTGTTGTATAGTCAGTCTATTTCACGTACACAGTCACACAGTTAATCTTCTTTGTAAATGTCCACTGCATCATCACGTAAAGTTCTCGAGTCACCGCCAGTCTCTCTCTCTCGGTACATCACCAACAGCACTGAGTTCACCATCCCTCTACCCAATAAATTCTCTCCTAATTGGCGAATATTTTTAATTATCTTCACTATTACTCTCCCTATGAGTAATAAAGAGATTATTTAAAAATATATCCCAAACTAGATAATTTAATTTACAGCACACAGGTTCGGGGCTATGAATTTAAAACTCTTTATATTAGGTATAAAATGTAGCCTGTGGAGCGGCTATAACAGGAGGCTGGGTGTGTCCCGCAGGTCTGACTGGAGTGAGTCTTGACCAGCCTATTCACTTCGATGGAACCACGTCTGTTCTCTACCCAGGGCAGCTCTCCCTCAAGTAAGCATTCACTCAAACAACACTTACGAGTACAGTTCGCTCTACAGGGGCTTGTGTCTCCAGAGTGTAGATGTTACCACGCAGCCTTTTAAGTAAAATAATAAAGGGAAATAAATCGAGAGTGGAAGCGGGCGGAACAAATGTGTCACACAACAATCCGACCATCTACCACCCTCATCCGGGGCTCAGTAACCCCCTCACCCCGTCTTCCTCCTCACCCTTACATTATACAACACTCACTTCTTCTTTTCCATATATTTATTTTATTTCTCTTATCTATATACCCAGTTATCCCTCCTAAGCCAGACGCTCGCATAACATTCACATACACGTATAATATTTGGTCGGGTTATCACTGCTTTGTAAATTGTTAACGTAAAGTGTGGTACCGAATATACAATTCATTTAAACAAATTACTAAGTTGTCCAAGGCAGCATTATTGTCCCCAAGTTTTCGTTTCGGGTCAGTTGATATTTTTTTTCTCTATAATAAACAACTCACATATCATTTATTTTCATTTGTTATTTATTAAAAAAAATCACGTACTCAACCCAAATGATGTTCAGAGATGACTTTCCTTTGGAGTGTAAATTATTGTGTTTATTTCTGACAATATCTAATAATCCTGCAGCAGTGTACCAACCAGATGTTCTAACCACCATCAGGATCATTAGTGCTGAGTCGGTCTGACCTACAGTCATTATCCCAAGGTCCAGATCCTCATTAACTAGGATCATAAGAACATATTTCACTGATGCACTTAAGCTACTTTACGATGGTGGTGTTGTGGTGCCTACACTGAGACTACTTTAAGGGTAGCAGTAGAGGTAGACGCTGTAGCAGTAGAAGGAGACGCTGTAGCAGTAGAGGTAGACAAGGTAGCAGTAGAGTGATACAGTGTGTGTCGCAGGTCCAACAAGAGTGGGCTACACGTCCCCTGGAGTCACCCTGACTACGACTACCTGGAGTACGACGAGGTGGAGCAACAGCTACTGGACCAAGTGGTGGACGGCAGCAACGACCTACATGACAGGTGTGTGAACCACGTCTACACTCTCACAGAATATATGATAGTTTAGACCCAGTGTTTGCTCTAACTTGCTCTACTTAGCTCAGTGATTAATCTAGCTTACTCTACCTAGCTCAGTGTTTACTCTAGCTTACTCTGCCTAGCCTTGTACAGGATCTTGTGAACTTTAAGACACCATGCCAACGTTACAGTTACTTTAATTAAGGTTTCAACCCCTTCACCACCATGCTCTCCCTGGTGCTTGGGACATGTACAGAGGTCGCGGACGGCCACACGGCGTGCTGGAGGTCAGTTTCCGTGCGGACAGTGGGACGGGGCTGCTTCTGTGGGCGGGGCGAGGGCGGAGTGGGCGTGGCAAGGCGGGGGACTACCTCGCACTGGCTCTGGTCGACGGCTTCCCTCAGCTGGCAATCAACCTCGGCCGAGCCCGCAAGCCATTCATCCTCACAGCCACGGTACATTCATCTTCACAGCCATGGTACATTCATTATCACAGCCACGGTACATTCATCCCCACAGCCACGGTACATTTACCCTCAGGGAAGCGGTTCACCGATCCTTCATTCCTATTACTATTGATTAATGAATACTCCATACAGTACAGTTGTCTGTAGTCTCTCAGGTAGGTAACGTCAGACTCCAACGGGATACAGTACAGCCCTCTCATCGGCTCATTCAGTGTCTCTATATATCAATAATTGTTCCCTCATAGTCATGGTGCATTAACCCTGCACAGGTATCATAACTCACCTACAGTCTCTCCTAAGGTAGCTCTCCTTGGTACCCTACAGCAGTACAGCAGTGGTCAGTTATTCTTCTTCATTTTTTCAATCAACTTCTGCTTCTCTCCCAGCCACGTGTACCAAGGGGCATGCTAGTAATGAGTAAGGTGTAGAGTTCTCTTATGTAAGGCCATGGCAGTAAGTCATTCTTGCACGTGTCCGGACATCTCTCTTTTATAATATGTTCAGGTATGATAAGGTTATTTCTTCCGTGTGTTCGGCCATAATGAGAATTTCCGTTTGTGTGTTGCAGGGGACGGTAGATGACGGGTCCTGGCACGTGGTGAGAGTGACGCGACGGTGGCGACGAGCGCTACTGAAGGTGGACAATCACCGTCCAGTGCGGGGTAAGGCACCGCGCGGCGCCACCACCCTCCACACCGACGGTGATCTCTGGATAGGTGGGTCATGCCACGTCGCCGCACACACACACATACACACACACCAGAGGTGACCTCTGGATAGGTTCAGCCAGTTTACCTTACACAGACTTGGCTAGATCATTTGCAAATTGGTTACTCGGGTTAGGTTAATTTACACAGAACAACACATAATTTTTGAACGAAAGACTCAGGGCAGACACATAACCAATAATAAAATTACACAGAGCATCGCTATTATGATTGAGTCACATGACTTTAATATCACTTTACAAAGATCAATATATAATCTTGGCAGCAGTTGAGTAAAACATTAAGTGCAAGAAGTGTTTACCTATCGTATGTCCTTTACGCTCGCCTATCTGAAGTAGGACTTGTTCACAGGCATTTCTGAACCACAGGTAAGAACAGGTACGAGTGATGACAAATATCGAAAAGACGAAGATTCCTGCAGGCACAGGAGACAACCTTTAAACGTTACTCAGGCCAACTCTCTTTACCGTCAATAAAAAGGTTCAATAAATGGATATATTCATAATACAGGAAGCAAATAAAGACAAATTAATCAGAATATCAAGAGAAGTTTTATATTTCACTAAATATTTTACCTTGATGGAAAGATTAATTTTATACATCGAAAAGGTATTATGATAAAAGTAGGGGTCAGGCATGTTGAATATAATGATGAAGAGGAAAATACAGGGTCATGGAGGGTTACACCGGAGGCTTAATGCACACCGCACTAGAGCAAATAAATGAAGCTAAACGGGGAAATGAAACAGTCTGAAGAAGAACTCGTGGTGAAATGAATGTAATGAGTAGCGAAACTGACATGATTTTATTGAAGTAAATGAAAATGTAAAAAAAAAGTGGATGGAAATAAAGATTAATGGTAAAGTGACAACAAAATGATGTTATGTGACGGATTATTATAAGAGTGTGTGTACAGCATGAAAGGTGAAGTGGGGGAAACTGGCAGTGTGTGGAGACGTTTATCCTGTTGGCTTCTAAGGTTATAAGTGGTCCTACGATATCCTATGTTACCTACATCCTGCCACCCCGTCATTTATATCCTGCCACCCCGTTACCTATATCCTGCTATCCCGTCACCTATATCATGCCACCCTTTCACCTATATCCCGCCACCGTCACCTATATCCTGCTATACCGTCAACTATATCCTGTCACCATCACCTACATCCTACCACCATCACGAATAAAAATGGAATGAAACAAACAGAAATAAAATTCAAAATCAACATAAAAAAGAATGTAGTAATGTCACTGTAGTTATGTAAGAGACAGCGGACATTGACACGCCTCTCTTATCTCATCCTCTCCTACAGGTGGTCACAGGTGGGTGCCCACCCAGCTGGATCCCGCCTATCACTGGGGCTTCAGAGGGTGTGTGGACCGTGTGATGGTGGATGGCCGTGAGGTACACTTGGTCCATCACGCAGCCTCTCCGCGACTCCAGTTCTGCCAGACCCTCAGCTAACACCAAGCCGACACCCCAGCTAAAGCCAGTTTCATACATCTGCTAACTCCAAGTCCACACCTCAGCTAACACCAAGTCCACGTCTCAATGAACTCCAGGTCCACATCTAAGCTAATACCAGAGGCCACATCTCAACCTCAGCTAACACCAAGTCCACGCCTCAGCTAACACCAGGTCCACGCCTCAGCTACAGTAACTCCTGATACAAACCTCAGCTAATATAGTTCCAACGCTTCAGCTGACGCTAATCCTACGCCCTCAGTTAACACCAGGCCCTGCACGCTTCAGCTAAATTTCAAGTCTACGACCTCCACTTACAGTCGGGTCCACGCCTTAAATCAATAAGTTCATCTCTGCAGCTAACAAGATCATTTCCATCTCACCTAAGGCCATCTCCAATCCCACAGTTAACATTTACTCCACGAAAAGGTTCCTGTCCCTGGTTTTCCCTTAACTGAGTATCTAAGAACTTTTGTAAATGACTAACCAAGCGTAAATGGCGTCAGTATTGTCAAAAAAAAAATAATAATTAATAAATATATATATATATATATATATATATATATATATATATATATATATATATATATATATATATATATATATATATATATATATATATATATATATATATATATATATATATATTCTACAGAGGCTTGATGCGTTCTTTAATTCTCTGTTACGTGAAAATATTATCGTTTGAACCTTCGGGAAATGATATTTTGAACCAGCTGTTTACACTTAGCCTCACATTTTGTTTTCTTTCTCCTCCCAAATATTATAAAAAGTTTATTTCGTAATTTCGTATCGTTTTTTGTTTTTTGTTTTTTTTAACAGAAAGAAACAACCTTCAGGAAGAAAGGATTATTCTCACTGATAACAATCATCCAGGGCAGGTTTTCCAGTTACAGGATAAGTTCATATTTCCTCCGGGACAAACGATGGCCTGTCACTCCTGCAGGCCGTGACGATGAACTCCCCAGTGTTCCGGGACGCATGTGAAGATTAAACACGACTGTACAGAAACAGCCCACGTCACGTCCCCTGCTGTCATCCTCTTCACGCCAACTATGTCAACACCACGTGGTCATCCTCGTCACACATAATGACTCGTTTCAGAAAAAAAGGCTTAGTTTATATTTATTTTGTTGTATTCTTTAAATGGTCACGAATTACACGGTGTCTCAGCTGTGTGATGATAAAATGACAGTGAGGTAACTGTCCAACTCGACGACGTAAAGAATGTTTATAAAATCCCTTGTTTACAAAACGTTGACAAGAATCCCCTGATGAAGTGACGCGACTAAAAAAAATACTAGTAAATGCTCTGAAACTTTTTGCACACAACAGTGATTTTCACATTTTCGCAGCAGGAATTGTTAAACTACACACCATGGACGACCTAGATGCATTCTATACATTTTCACCAATATTGCTAAGTAACAAGTCACAACGGACTTTGTGGAGAATATAGTTGTATTCAGAAAATTATGGAATGCATGTCGAGGTTTTGGATAAGCCACTTGCTCTAGGGACTCAGTCAACACAAACATCAAGGGTTAACTGTGTACCAGGTGCGGAACCTTCATGGTGTTCACCCCACAGTGTTTTAGTTACCTCGCTCTTGATCTTTTACACATTCGGACTGTCACTTATGTGAGCCTAGGTGTTATTCAGACTTAGAATATAAATAATTTATTAAGCAAGAATTAAAATTTAGCATAACCTGGGCTTGTAAAACAGAGGCCAATATCCACAGTATATTTTCTTATAATAAAACGTTTTTCTTAAGCCAGTCATACACACCTGACCCTCACACTCCCTCCTCTCATTATAACCTGTATCCTATTACTCTATTATTTTATTTGAACTTTACAAATGCAGGAAATTCTAGTTGATTATATATATATATATATACATACATATATATATATATATATATATATATATATATATATATATATATATATATATATATATATATATATATATATATATATATATATATATATATATATATATATATATATATATATATAGTGTATGTGTGTGTGTGTGTTAATGTGTGATATATAGTGTGTGTGTGTGTGTGTGTGCGTGTGTGTGTGTGTGTGTTTTATATGTGAAACCGACGATGCATTTAAGATCAAAATAAAATTCTTGGCTTTATTAATAAGATAGAACAGCCTGACAAGATATTCCCCGTTTTCCTACACTATTTATCCACAACACAGAAGTTTATCACGTAAAATACAGTCAGATTTGTGCTAAGTTTTGTTATATTGATCTGAGCTTGGAGGTAGTGGGTGTCCAGAAGAGCGAGAGTTGTTGTTCACGACGTGCGAGAGTTCATCCGTCACTAAGCAGTGGTTACTAGTCTGCATCTTAATACTTGTAGATGGTGAACATTGACATAGAGTTATTCCATCCAGTCATCACTGTCACCTGGTGGTGACTCCTCCACCCTCATGCATAATACAACCTTCTCTTCATATGAATGTGTGAATTATAACAGGTGTGTTACGAGAAGCATGCAGTTTTATATATCTAGAGACATATACTCATTTTCCTTGTAATTATAATAAATATCTATATTAACACTGTAAGCAAAAAATATTTATAGTAAAATAATCCGGGTGTAATCATAAAGATAATTGGTTAGTTGTTGGGATTAGCTTTTTGATGTGCATTTGTGAAGAGCGTTTCGTCATATTTTTCAGGCAAACCTTAATTAGTGTTACAGTCAAGACCCTTCTCAGACAGAACCTGTGTTGCTCTGGGCTGCTGTGATCCATTCATCCCTTACCTCACTCCCTGTATGATTTACGAGGTCACAAAAGAGAGAAAATAATTATTAAAATCTAATTTGAAAGAAAAGAGAGAACGAAAGATTGACCAAGACTTATAACAATATCTAGGAAAAGACACGAAGGTCAGTGTGAAATCTAAAAGATCCTCGAGATGTAGCCAAGAGCTCCTGAACTAAGAGGATCAACACGCCACATAGGGCTCGCTGAAGAAGTGGTGTAGCTCCTGAAGAAGATCGTGTGAGAATAAAAGGTCACCAAACATACCCAAAAATTCGTTAGGTGATCACTAAAGGACTTGTGGGCCAATGAGTCTTGGATACAGAGAGGTCACCAAGATGTCCCTCAGAGGCTTAATTAAGAGGTTATCAGTCACCAAGAGGTCTTCCAGTACACAGCCCGGCGTCCACTAAACACCATGATGAACTAACGCAATTTTCTCTTTTTTTAGTTACTCTTCTTTACATACAGAGCAAAAAGAGAGCTATATTATGGTTGTTCTCCATCCACTTCAACACTGTACAGTAGGTTCTGTTCATATAATGTTTATAAGACAAGAGCGGACCACGTGGCCGTGCCAGCCCTCGCCTGTGAGGGAAGGGCGGGAAGGCTGTCACATACCTTAATACTTAGCGCTGATGCCTCGCGAGGAGACACACCACATACTCATAAATTGTTAGGATCTCGTGTACCAGAGCAAGAAGCATCATCTTACATGTGCATACTGAGCGCCATGTGTACATGTGCACATCTGTCCAACTCTCGTCCGAGCATCCGCATAAAGTTTTATATACAACAGTGTACAGGACTAGGGCTGTATTTCATAGTGTGAATACTCTTGACGTTTTGTAACCATTAAATGTGCCTTTTTGAAACCTTCACTTTTACTATCCAACACAGTGAGAGAAAACTTCTTTATTTAGATACTTAGTACTGAATATTGTAACCTATTTATGATAATATGTATATCTGAGCCAAACAGCAGTACTAAGCTAGAGTGGAAACAACGCCTGGGGCACCCTTAGTTCACCCAGCTGTAAACAAGTACTGTACATAGCAAGGGAAGTGAAAACATTGCATATAAGGTCGGTCACACTGCTTCCCTGTGTACCGAAAATAAGGGAACAAGACCACCTGCACTCCTCGGTCTCCCTGACATGACTGATAACTTACTGTACCCGAGAACACTGGCTGATACATGGTAACCTGTCATCACAAACACAACCGATGTAAAATTCCAAATCATCACATATATGATTTAGAAATCAGACTTAAAGTAAACTAAGTAAACCTCATATAACAAAATCTATGGAGGAAAGATCCATCTAAATTTAGTCTTCCTGTGGTCGACCCAGCCAAGTACCCTCCTGCACCTACACCAAGACGTGGGAAGCTGTCTCGTGAGGGGAATATATATATACCATCAAGTCTACAAAAATAACCAAAACACATAAACAATACTGGTTGCTCGCATCCACATCCAGGCTGTTCCCACCAGACCCAGACAACTACCAAAAACACACCGTCTAACATCATTAAGACAGTTCTGTCCTCCAGCCAGACGGAAAAATAACCCAGTGAAAGCTGCCAGCCCCTCCAGCTAAGTGGTGACCCGTCAAGCTATTTCAGGACAAACACTATTACTCAGGCCTCAGTTCCCTACCTCCCTGAACATCCTGCCATGCCTCTCTCTCTCTCTCTCTGAAACGGTCCATCATTCCTTGTCTCCCTCACTACTTCTCTTTCCGTTCCTTATTACCTCCCTCCTTTCTCTCCCCCCAACCCTCCCTGCCCAACCCTCTCTCTTTTCTACCAATACCTCTTTTTTTTTCCTTTTACTCTGCCCTCTTCCTGCACCTTTCCTTCCTTTTCCTCCTCTCCCTCCTCTGTGACCTTTCTTTCATCATATTTTTCTCTCGGTCCCCTCCTTCGTCGACTACAACTCCTTCTCTCTCCCATTCTACTCTTTCCCTCTTCTTTGCTCCTTTTCTTGTCCCTTGCTATACCTCAATTATTCATTCTATCTCATTTTTCTTTCGTTCTTCCCTTCTTCCCTTCCTTTCTCAACTCGCTACCCTTACATTTTTCGTCTTACTTCTTCCTTGTCACTTCTACCTTATACCTCTCTTTCTTTGTTCTTGATTCCCTCTGCTGTCCTTCTTTCTTTATTATCTCTCTCTCCTCTCTCTCTCCTCTCTCTCTCTCTCTCTCTCTCTCTCTCTCTCCCTCTCTCTCTCTCTCTCTCTCTCCTTGCCTTTCCGTGTCCTGTCAATCATTTTGTTGCTCCTTCAATTGCTAGATCTAACACTCTTTCAACACGCCCTCCCTTCCCTCCCCCTCCCCCACACATCCCTGCCTCCCACAGACACACGTAGACGTCACCTCGTGTCATCATTAACACAATTGCTGACCCGCTCACTGTTATTACTGTTCTTTTCGGACATATTTTCTCGAAAGTAAGTTTACAGACACACACACACACACAAGTAGACGTCAATAGTGAGGGGGGACCCATCCAAATAACTCACACCCCAATGGCCACAATCCCAAGGCCACACCCGACCCTCGACTCCTCTTTAATTTACCTCCCAATGGTCTTCCAAATCCCTCTCTTACCCCCGCCACCGTGAAGTAGCCCCGGGGCTATTTGATCTTTAATTGTCTCGCTCTAAGTCGTTGACCACTGGACCACGGAAAT